CAGTACATTATACACTCTTATTAACCAGGTCAGTACATTATACACTCTTATTAACCAGGTCAGTACATTATACACTCTTATTAACCAGGTCAGAACATTATACACTCTTATTAACCAGGTCAGTACATTATACACTCTTATTAACCAGGTCAGTACATTATACACTCTTAATTAAACCCGGTTTAGTACATTTACACCTTTTTAACAAAGGGCATAAATTTATACACTCTTTTAAAAAAAAAAAAGGGCGTAAATTATCACTCTTATTAAACCCGGGCAGACATTTTAAAACTCTTTTTAACCGGTCAGTAAATTAAAACACTCCTTTTTAAACCCCCTTTCCCCCCGTTTCATTAACACTCTTATTAACCAGGTCATACATTTACACTTTAATTTAAACCCGGTCGTACATTATCACTCTTATTTTAACCCGGTCCGTAATTTTAAAACCTTTTTAACCAGGTCATTTCATTTTTACCCCCTTTTTTTAAACCAGGGGCAGGAAAATTATCACTTTATTAACCCGGTCAGAACATTCTACCTTTATTTAAACCCGGGCAGTACAATTTTCACTCTTTTAACCGGTCAGTACTTATACATCTTTTAAAAAAGGGCCGTAAAATTATCACTCTTATTAACCAGGTTTAGTACATTAACACTCTTATTAACCAGGTCAGTACATTATACACTCTTATTAACCAGGTCAGTACATTATACACTCTTATTAACCAGGTCAGTACATTATACACTCTTATTAACCAGGTCAGTACATTATACACTCTTATTAACCAGGTCAGTACATTATACACTCTTATTAACCAGGTCAGTACATTATACACTCTTATTAACCAGGTCAGTACATTATACACTCTTATTAACCAGGTCAGTACATTATACACTCTTATTAACCAGGTCAGTACATTATACACTCTTATTAACCAGGTCAGTACATTATACACTCTATTAACCAGGTCAGTACATTATACACTCTTATTAACCAGGTCAGTACATTATACACTCTTATTAACCAGGTCAGTACATTATACACTCTTATTAACCAGGTCAGTACATTATACACTCTTATTAACCAGGTCAGTACATTATACACTCTTATTAACCAGGTCAGTACATTATACACTCTTAATAACCAGGTCAGTACATTATACACTCTTATTAACCAGGTCAGTACATTATACACTCTATTAACCAGGTCAGTACATTATACACTCTTATTAACCAGGTCAGTACATTATATACTCTTATTAACCAGTCAGTACATTATACACTCTTATTAACCAGGTCAGTACATTATACACTCTTATTAACCAGGTCAGTACATTATACACTCTTATTAACCAGGTCAGTACATTATACACTCTTATTAACCAGGTCAGTACATTATACACTCTTATTAACCAGGTCAGTACATTATACACTCTTATTAACCAGGTCAGTACATTATACACTCTTATTAACCAGGTCAGTACATTATACACTCTTATTAACCAGGTCAGTACATTATACACTCTTATTAACCAGGTCAGTACATTATACACTCTTATTAACCAGGTCAGTACATTATACACTCTTATTAACCAGGTCAGTACATTATACAACTCTTATTAACCAGGTCAGTACATTATACACTCTCATTAACCAGGTCAGTACATTATACACTCTTATTAACCAGGTCAGTACATTATACACTCTTATTAACCAGGTCAGTACATTATACACTCTTATTAACCAGGTCAGTACATTATACACTCTGTGTAGACAGTGTACGTGTATAATTTCCTAACGGTTTATTGGACTGGTTTTTACGGTATAGTTTCGACAAAACTCTAACGAAGCCAATTAGCAAATTGGGGGGGGGGGGGGGCATCAACCTCATAAATACCTATTATTCCCTCCGATTTCAAGATAGGTTTAGGTATTTATGTATATACATTATGGTTGTTTAAAGGTTTTGTTGTTTTTTCAGGATTTTCCCACTTTTAACATAATGTATTCAATTCTATTCATAGTGTTGGGTTGTATAGGGTTTTTAATGTGATCAAAAGATTATGAACAGTTCAGACTATCAAATGGTTGCTTGTATAGAAGTTTCTGAACATTTTGAACAACAATTAAAAATAACAAGTAAAAATCTTGTCATGAAATTTTCAATGTTTCACTCTGAAATTTTATTTGTTTCCCTACTCTTGCCAAAAGCAAAAAGATCGTAGGGAATAAGTAATCGGGTTTGGATATATGAGGTGGCCCGACGGTCCTGCGGTGACGACAAAAGTCTGCTCTTTCGCGATATAGACCACCCCCCTATAATTATGTGTATTTGAAGCGTCTGTTATGGCGGGCACGACGCTAGCCATGTGTTAATTAATTACAGTGAAGTTCCTCCTTCGCAAAGTTATTTTCCGCAATTTTCTGGATTCATTTATTGTTGATGCGCGCGGCGCTACATAGGTCAAATAAATCGTCAATTTTTACCATGCGCGAATCCCACTCATTTATTAAAAATATACTATGTAAATATGTTGCACTTTTTTCCAGTCACACTTTTCACTCGAAATAATTAATGGTACAAGATACAAGTACATCGTAGGGAAAATTGATCGTGCATGGTTTAACCGCGGCGAAATTCTTGTTGCCTTTGTGTACATTAAACTTGGGTTGTATAGGGTTTTTAATGTGATCAAAAGATTATGAACAGTTCAGACTATCAAAAGGCTACCGAAGTTTCTGAACATTTTGAACAACAATTAAAAATAACAAGTAAAAATCTTGTCATGAAATTTTCACCTAAAATTTCAAAAAATCAATGTTGCTAACAATCTTCTGAAACGTCCAAAAAAGTAACCTTTAGCTGCCCTAAAATACCTATAAATACCTATTATTCGCTCCGATTTCAAAATAGGAATAGGTATTTATGTATATTAATGAGGTTGACGCCCCCCCAATTTTTAAAAATCGGCCAGTGGTAAGTGGTTTAATTGATGGTTTTGTACCCCAAATGTGATACTAAATGTGACTATTTAAGTGTCTCACTTTTTCTCCTCTCTTTTACACTCTCTCACTCTCTCTCTCTCTCCCCATTTACAGCTCCCCTAATTACAGCTTTGTACATAATTATAATTAGGTAATTTTGCAGTGGAGCCTATTGAGTATTACTATTGGATACGTATTGCGTGATGAGTGCTTAGAATTAAATTTACTCTAGTGCGACCGGTTTCAACTGAGCGAGTTTATACTGGTGCAATTCAGGGGGGGGGGGGGGGATAAATCGAAATAGCTCAAAATTAATTATCGGCCTTACAAAATGACAGGCCTCACAAAATTACAGTCCACAAAGACCATGCTGTAGCTTCGGTACCCTATACATTTAACCCTATTCCTTTTACTGTATGAAAGAAAAAGTGTTAATTAACACTTCCCAAGGAATGATTATGACATAGAATCTATATTTCTTACATAAATATGGACGTTTTTGCTGTTCAGTCATTGCCCCGCCTAACTGTTACCCAGCATGGAGACCAAAGTTTAGAATTTAACCCCAGGAAACCAGGTACTACCATGACTTATGTCAATCAAAGACTACTCTGGTCAAATAACACAACTGATTTAGTGACTTTGGTAGAAAACATGACAAAAAAATGACCTAGCCTCACAAAATGACAGTGTTATGCCTCACAAAATGACAGTTTTATTTTATGATACATTGATGGCATATTTATATTGGATGCCCCTTGCCTAATTATTGGTATTCTAAAACCCAGTAAGCTTATGATGAGCCTAAATGTGTTTGTTTGATCATCAATTTTGATCAAAATGCCTCACAAAATGACACCGAAAAGCCTTACAAAATGACAATGTTTCAGATTGAATTATTTTCATCATCTGAAATGGATCAGAAGCAGTCAATACAAGAAGGAGTTAAAAATAATCATAATCTGACAGTTAACAATCAAGTAGCATTACAAAAGTGCAACTCTGATATCAAAACGTTTTAAAAACATTTCAAAACTCAACGAAATAAAGCTTCTATTTTGTGAAAGCAGAGTTTGTTTGTTTGGGCCCGGACGGTGCCGGTGGTTCTAATGACCATTTACTAAAATACATAGATACAAAATACAATATAGTATAAATATTATAATCAGAAGTTTTATAAATCCTATCCGTCCAAGTTAAACTTGAAGGGCGCTACACGCACGACGAAAACTCCATTTAATGTGAGCTGAAGTAGACTACTAGTAGTAGAGCTAGTAGCGCTTGAAATTGACAGAACTGAAAACGAAATCTGACAATTGTCGCGAAAACTGACAGTTTTGTGTGCTCAAAGTGTCGAGAAATACTGACAGTGCAAGACTGGGCACACAAGAGTGAGTTAAAAAAAGAGAGTAATAACAACTCCTAAAACATGTCATAACACTAAAAAGTGATCTATCCAGGCATAGAACATATCAAATAAAACCAAATACTGTGTTTAAGTATGTATGAAAAAAAATATATTTTTACGCCTCACAAAATGACATATTTTCAATTTTTTCAAAGTATAAAAAATATTCCTTTTTTAATATATTCTGGTAAAAACAGAACTGGTGTAATATAAATAACATAATATATCTGACAGTAAGACACGAGAAAGATTAATGAAACTTTTTCCCAAATCGGATTTGAAGTGATGCCGTTTTTGGTTGTCATTTTGTAAGGCACTAGTTCACGCGAAATTGCCCAACTTTTTTTAATCATCCTTTTTCCCGTAAAAGCTATTCTAATCTTCAATCTATTATATTTATCTAACTGTCCTAGGTGAAATCAAATTTCTATAGGCTGCTGTTAAAAAATGACAGCCGTGACGAAATTGTCATTTTGTAAGGCATGTTTTTTTAGAAAATTTCAAAGATGACAATTTTTATCGCCAAATTTAGGTTTTTCAGTCAAATCAACCCCCGGGTAGAAAAATATACCTGTTGAACTACCTATCTGACATTACTTTACAGGTGCAGACGGAAAGTGCAGCCCTGACCTGAGGCTGAAAGGTCACACTAAAGAAGGGTATGGGTTGTCATGGAGCCCTAACAACGCTGGACACCTACTTAGTGCGTCTGATGATTGCACAATATGTTTATGGGATGTTGAGGCGGCCACTAAGGAAGCCAGATCCATAGAGGCTAAATCAATCTTCCGAGCACACACAGCCGTGATAGAGGACGTAGCTTGGAATCCGCTCCACCCTACCACTTTCGGGAGTGTAGCAGACGACAAGAAACTAATGATATGGGACACTAGAGAGAGTGTACAGACTAAACCTGTACACTCTATAGAGGCCCACTCCAAAGAGGTAGCTATATTAACCTGTACACAGTCTGCATGAAGAACCCACCCCAGACCCCTGCATGAAGAACCCGCCTGCATGAAGAACCCCCCCTGCATGAAGAACCCCCCGCCCCCCCCCCCCCCCCTGCATAAAGACCCCCTCTGCATAAAGACCCCCCCCCCCCCTGCATGAAGAACCCCCGCCCCCCTGCATAAAGACCCCCCCTGCATAAAGACCCCCTCCCCCCCTGCATGAAGAACCCCCCCTGCATAAAGAACCCCCCCTGCAATGAAGAACCCCCCTGCATAAAGAACCCCCCCTGTATGAAGAACCCCCCCCCCCCCTGCATGAAGAACCCCCCTGCATGAAGAACCCCCCTGCATGAAGAACCCCCCCCCCTGCATAAACCCCCCTGCATGAATAACCCCCTCCCCCTGCATGAAGAACCCCCCCTGCATGAAGAACCGCCCCCTGCATGAAGAACCTCCCCCCCCTGCATGAAGAACCTCCCCCCCCCTGCATGAAGAACCCCCCCCCCCCTGCATGAAGAACCCCCCCCCCTGCATGAAGAACCCCCCTGCATTAAGAATCCCCCCTGCATAAAGAACCCCCCCTGCATAAAGAACCCCCCCTGCATGAAGAACCCGCCTGCATGAAGAACTCCCCCTGCATAAAGAACCCCCCGCCCCCCTGCATAAAGACCCCCCCTGCATAAAGACCCCCTCCCCCCCTGCATGAAGAACCCGCCCCCCCTGCATAAAGAACCCCCCTGCATAAAGAACCCCCCCTGTATGAAGAACCCCCCCCCCTGCATGAAGAACCCCCCTGCATGAAGAACCCCCCTGCATGAAGAACCCCCCCCCCCTGCATAAACCCCCCTGCATGAATAACCCCCTCCCCCTGCATGAAGAACCCCCCCTGCATGAAGAACCGCCCCCTGCATAAAGAACCGCCCCCTGCATGAAGAACCTCCCCCCCTGCATGAAGAACCCCCCCCCTGCATGAAGAACCCCCCTGCATGAAGAACCCCCCTGCATTAAGAATCCCCCTGCATAAAGAACCCCCCCTGCATGAAGAACCCCCCTGCATAAAGAACCCCCCCTGCATGAAGAACCCCCCTGTATGAAGAACCCCCCCCCCCCTGCATAAAGAAACCCCCCCTGCATGAAGAACCCCCCCCCTGCATGAAGAACCCCCCCCCCTGCATGAAGAACCCCCCCCCCCCTGCATAAAGAACCCCCCCCCCCCCTGCATAAAGAACCCCCCCTGCATGAAGAACCCCCCTGCATGAAGAACCCACCCCCCCCCCCTGCATGAAGAACCCCCCCTGCATGAAGAACCTCCCCCCTGCATGAAGAACCCCCCCCCCCCCCCCCCCCCCCCCCCCCCCCCCCTGGCCACAAATTCTCTATCATTCCCGTGATTTGCGGCATTTTGTTTTATGTACCATATTTATAATTTTGATTCAGGTAAACTGCTTGTCCTTCAACCCCTACTCTGAGTACATTCTAGCGACTGGATCAGCTGACAAAACTGTAGCCTTGTGGGACATGAGGAACCTTAAAATAAAACTACACAGCTTCGAATCTCACAAAGACGAGATTTTCAACGTTCAGTGGTCTCCTCACAATGAAACTATCCTGGCTAGTAGTGGTAAGTAGTGGTAACTATCCTGGCTAGTAGTGGTAAGTAGTGGTAACTATCCTGGCTAGTAGTGGTAAGTAGTGGTAACTATCCTGGCTAGTAGTGGTAAGTAGTGGTAACTATCCTGGCTAGTAGTGGTAAGTAGTGGTAAGTAGTGGTAACTATCCTGGCTAGTAGTGGTAAGTAGTGGTAACTATCCTGGCTAGTAGTGGTAAGTAGACGCGCACAGAGCTAACATTTGTTAAAATTGTTCGTTATTGGATGCATCGACTCTGCACTGCCCACTAATCAGTAATCTGACACAAGTAGCTTATAAAACAGTGCGTGTGATCATCTGTCGTATCAAATCAAATTATTTGTCACTATGTTAATAAATCATGATGTGCAAGTTTTAATTTTTAAAGTTTTGATTTTTTTTAATGAATAAACGTAAAAGGTTACATCATAATTTTCAATTCTCATATTCACGTATATTAAATAAAATTATATTGTTTAAATGTATCATATAATATGATTTTGTAAACATTGGCCGGTGGACCAAACAAACAGATCTCGAAACAAACAAAACAAAACATAGTTTTCAATGGAACTTGATAAAAAATACACTTAATCAAAAAGACATATATAATAATCAAATGGATCTACATTCTACATTGTTAATGTTTGGATAATGTTTGAGTGAACTATAACTACAGCCAGCAAATAAACTAAATATATAACTACAGCCAGCAAATAAACTAAAGATATAACTACAGCCATCAAATAAACTAAAGATATAACTACAGCCAGCAAATAAACTAAGATATAACTACAGCCAGCAAATAAACTAAAGATATAACTACAGCCAGCAAATAAACTAACTAATATAACTTGCAGGCAGTGACCGGAGGTTGCTGGTGTGGGATCTGGCTAAGATAGGAGAACTAACTAATATAACTTGCAGGCAGTGACCGGAGGTTGCTGGTGTGGGATCTGGCTAAGATAGGAGAACTAACTAATATAACTTGCAGGCAGTGACCGGAGGTTGCTGGTATGGGATCTGGCTAAGATAGGAGAACTAACTAATATAACTTGCAGGCAGTGACCGGAGGTTGCTGGTATGGGATCTGGCTAAGATAGGAGAACTAACTAATATAACTTGCAGGCAGTGACCGGAGGTTGCTGGTATGGGATCTGGCTAAGATAGGAGAACTAACTAATATAACTTGCAGGCAGTGACCGGAGGTTGCTGGTGTGGGATCTGGCTAAGATAGGAGAACTAACTAATATAACTTGCAGGCAGTGACCGGAGGTTGCTGGTATGGGATCTGGCTAAGATAGGAGAACTAACTAATATAACTTGCAGGCAGTGACCGGAGGTTGCTGGTATGGGATCTGGCTAAGATAGGAGAACTAACTAATATAACTTGCAGGCAGTGACCGGAGGTTGCTGGTGTGGGATCTGGCTAAGATAGGAGAACTAACTAATATAACTTGCAGGCAGTGACCGGAGGTTGCTGGGTGGGATCTGGCTAGGATAGGAGAACTAACTAATATAACTTGCAGGCAGTGACCGGAGGTTGCTGGTGTGGGATCTGGCTAAGATAGGAGAACTAACTAATATAACTTGCAGGCAGTGACCGGAGGTTGCTGGGTGGGATCTGGCTAAGATAGGAGAACTAACTAATATAACTTGCAGGCAGTGACCGGAGGTTGCTGGGTGGGATCTGGCTAAGATAGGAGAACTAACTAATATAACTTGCAGGCAGTGACCGGAGGTTGCTGGTGTGGGATCTGGCTAAGATAGGAGAACTAACTAATATAACTTGCAGGCAGTGACCGGAGGTTGCTGGGGTGGGATCTGGCTAAGATAGGAGAACTAACTAATATAACTTGCAGGCAGTGACCGGAGGTTGCTGGTATGGGATCTGGCTAAGATAGGAGAACTAACTAATATAACTTGCAGGCAGTGACCGGAGGTTGCTGGTGTGGGATCTGGCTAAGATAGGAGAACTAACTAATATAACTTGCAGGCAGTGACCGGAGGTTGCTGGTGTGGGATCTGGCTAAGATAGGAGAACTAACTAATATAACTTGCAGGCAGTGACCGGAGGTTGCTGGTGTGGGATCTGGCTAAGATAGGAGAACTAACTAATATAACTTGCAGGCAGTGACCGGAGGTTGCTGGTGTGGGATCTGGCTAAGATAGGAGAACTAACTAATATAACTTGCAGGCAGTGACCGGAGGTTGCTGGTGTGGGATCTGGCTAAGATAGGAGAACTAACTAATATAACTTGCAGGCAGTGACCGGAGGTTGCTGGTGTGGGATCTGGCTAGGATAGGAGAACTAACTAATATAACTTGCAGGCAGTGACCGGAGGTTGCTGGTATGGGATCTGGCTAAGATAGGAGAACTAACTAATATAACTTGCAGGCAGTGACCGGAGGTTGCTGGTGTGGGATCTGGCTAAGATAGGAGAACTAACTATATAACTTGCAGGCAGTGACCGGAGGTTGCTGGTATGGGATCTGGCTAAGATAGGAGAACTAACTAATATAACTTGCAGGCAGTGACCGGAGGTTGCTGGTGTGGGATCTGGCTAGGATAGGAGAACTAACTAATATAACTTGCAGGCAGTGACCGGAGGTTGCTGGTGTGGGATCTGGCTAAGATAGGAGAACTAACTAATATAACTTGCAGGCAGTGACCGGAGGTTGCTGGTATGGGATCTGGCTAAGATAGGAGAACTAACTAATATAACTTGCAGGCAGTGACCGGAGGTTGCTGGTGTGGGATCTGGCTAAGATAGGAGAACTAACTAATATAACTTGCAGGCAGTGACCGGAGGTTGCTGGTGTGGGATCTGGCTAAGATAGGAGAACTAACTAATAATGAACTAGTGTGGTTCTGGCAGCAAATAAACTAACTAATATAACTTGCAGGCAGTGACCGGAGGTTGCTGGTGTGGGATCTGGCTAAGATAGGAGAACTAACTAATATAACTTGCAGGCAGTGACCGGAGGTTGCTGGTGTGGGATCTGGCTAAGATAGGAGAACTAACTAATATAACTTGCAGGCAGTGACCGGAGGTTGCTGGTGTGGGATCTGGCTAAGATAGGAGAACTAACTAATATAACTTGCAGGCAGTGACCGGAGGTTGCTGGTGTGGGATCTGGCTAGGATAGGAGAACTAACTAATATAACTTGCAGGCAGTGACCGGAGGTTGCTGGTGTGGGATCTGGCTAGGATAGGAGAACTAACTAATATAACTTGCAGGCAGTGACCGGATGTTGCTGGTGTGGGATCTGGCTAAGATAGGAGAACTAACTAATATAACTTGCAGGCAGTGACCGGAGGTTGCTGGTATGGGATCTGGCTAGGATAGGAGAAGAACAGAGTCCAGAAGACGCAGAGGATGGCCCCCCAGAGCTACTGTTTATTCACGGGGGACACACGGCCAAAATATCAGACTTCACTTGGAACCCCAACCACCCCTGGTTCGTGTGCAGCACTTCTGAAGACAATGTTATTCACATTTGGAAGATGGCGGAGAACATTTATAACGATGAGGAAATAGTAGAGGTGCCAGATAGTGAGCTGGAAGCCGGTGCTTAGTTGAGTTGGTGCGGGTTACCACTAGTTACTATGCTAGTTACTATGGTTACTATGCTAGTTACTAGCGGCTGTTTGTACACATTCCTCTCAGGTTCTTTAACCCAAGTATTTCTTCTAATTCTGGTGCCAGAATCACTGAACCAGGTTAAGTTTTTAGTGGGATTTTTGGCACTTCGAATTGCTTTATTCTCTATGAACACATGTTGAGTGTGTGTGAGAGTCATTCTTATAGCCAATTTTATAATTTATTGTATTTTATCAACAATCAAATTCTGCTGATATAATTATGCGAAAAACTTTATTGTTTAACCAATTTTATTTTCACACTGCAGTTATTGATAACTGATAGTGATATCAATAATTGTTAAACAAATTGTCGTGTTGTTTTTGTGTTGTTTTTGCTTTACAAAATTGAAGCACGTGATACAAAAATGTATCTTTTTATCAATATTAGAAGGCAATATCTAGACTACAATATAGTAGTACTTCACCAGCTATTTCACGAAGATAGTAGTACTAATTCACCAGCTATTTCACGAAGATAGTAGTACTAATTCACCAGCTATTTTACGAAGATAGTAGTACTAATTCACCAGCTATTTCACGAAGATAGTAGTACTAATTCACCAGCTATTTCACGAAGATAGTAGTACTAATTCACCAGCTATTTCACGAAGATAGTAGTACTAATTCACCAGCTATTTTACGAAGATAGTAGTACTAATTCACCAGCTATTTCACGAAGATAGTAGTACTAATTCACCAGCTATTTTACGAAGATAGTAGTACTAATTCACCAGCTATTTCACGAAGATAGTAGTACTAATTCACCAGCTATTTCACGAAGATAGTAGTACTAATTCACCAGCTATTTCACGAAGATAGTAGTACTAATTCACCAGCTATTTCACGTATTTCTTACAATTTTGACAAACGGCGTATTTTCGATCGGTTTTTCGGCGTATTTAACGTGTAGGGTTTTTGAAAATGTAACTTGTATTAGGTTCTCTTGTTAATCCTTAATGCTTAATCCAGGTCATAACTCCCTATCTGTTGTCTGTACTCTACCAAAATGTCCAAGGCCTTATACCTTGCAATAACCTAAGCTCCTCCCATCCCCTTCTTGATGGTAATAAGATTTCTGAACTTTGCTAACATAAAGCAGCCTGAGTCTGACACAAAATGAGACTTGGCTCAAAAAGTTTATCTCTAGTAACGAAATCTTTCCTTCTTCTCAATATGAAGTTTTCCGCAATGACCGCACGAGAAAGACTCATCCTCAAGATCCTAATAACCCTAAAACGTTTAGAGGTGCTGTTCTTTGGGCTGTTCGGTCTGATCTCGACGCCGACTACCAGTTAGCCTATAGGTGCCGAAATGCTTGCAGTTAAAATTACTTTCCCTGACAAAGAGAGTATTGTAATCTGTACTTGCTATAGAGTAGGAATTCTTGGGTTTCCTGGCCTAATCATGATGTCATAGTTAGTTATATTTGCAAGCTGGTTTCCAAAAAGAATCCCCCTAAAATCTATGTTATTGGTGATTTTAATCTTCCCCACACAGACTGGCTATCTTCATCCAGTACCGTACCTATCGAACAATCCTTCATAGATTCTTTCAGCGATATGTCTCTCTCCCAGCTGATCACGTCGCCCACCCATGAAAGTGGTAATACATTAGACATTCTTCCAGGCATGGCTCCAGCTAGGGGGCGGAGCCCCCTTTCTGAGGGGGGGGGGGGGGGCTAGGGGGCGGAATTTATACTACGGCCTGCCAACAACTTGGTATGGTCATTAGTACAGAGTACAGACAAATCCGTCTGAAAAATCGATCTGCTGACCATTTTTTTTGAGACGTTTTTGAGTCCCATTAGGTGCCCTTTATGGCTGACCAACTTTTCCAAACTTTTCCACTTGTCTTAAGGCCACTTTACCACTTTTTACCACCTTTCTTGTTTGTCGAATATCTTCAGTTGTGAACATCGTAAAATCGCATGAAAATTGTTTGAACAAAAGTTTTTCTTCCTGATAATATAAACACACTCGATTGATCCGCAACCTTTTACGATGTTCACAACTAAAGATATTCGACAAACAAGAAAGGTGGTAAAACTAAAAAGTGGTAAAGTGGTAAAGTGGCAAAAAGTGGCCTTAAGACAAGTGGAAAAGTTTGGAAAAGTTGGTCAGCCATAAGGGCAACTAATGGGACTCAAAAACGTCAAAAATCCTCTGAAAGCTTTGATGGTCGATTTTTTTTAGACGGATTTGTCTGTACTTATCTTATCTTATCTTATCTTATGAGGATTCGTTGCGACGCAACAAGGCCATCGAATGAGTCGACCACCTTTGTTATTTTACTTCGGCATTACCTGCATTACAATGTAAACCAGCACTTTCAAGGAAGAGCTTTACAAGAAGCCGAAGGATCGTTCCTAAGGCCAGCAACGGTTAAGGCACTATGCCACACTTTCTTCGCCCGAGGCTTCGCTGTGTTGATCAAGCACAGCTCCTCATTTAACCCTCACACCCGATTTCTCGAGCATTCGGCTGAGTGAACCGTGGGGCTACATAGACCACTCGGGATCCTTAGCAGAGCGTCAACGACGCTCACCCCACGACTAGGCAGGCAGTGGGATTCGAACTCGCAATCTTACGATTACAAATCCGATGATCAACCAACTACGCTACCTACTTAGTATTGTCATTGATTAGAAACGTCGCCGGGCCCTTTTTACTGGGCCGCGCTCAGCCTGTCATTCCGCCTAATCTCCATGGTTATGAACATGATAGCCCGAGGTCCCCAGTTGATTCACGATGTCAATCCTTCGCATCTCGCCGATCTGCATACGTCTTACCTGGGGACCCCAGACTATTATATTTATGTTCATAAGAGAATATAGTAAATATAATGGAGATTAGGCGGAATGACAGGCTGAGCGCCGCCCAGTAAGGCAAGCTTCTCGACTAAAACGTTGCCACCTCGACAGTCTATTGTGTCATCAATTTTACCTAAGTTAAGTCAGAATTCACACACCATCTGTACCTCAAATTGTCCACTGGCAAAATCATTTTTCTACAGAACCCATATACTCTGCATGCAATGGACTCCCTTTACAGCTAGGTAAGACAGATTGTGTTTACTAGTCTTTTCAAATCTGCAGAGGTCACTAAGCATCTATGGAAATGTTTATTGGATAGTCATAGTGAAAGAACAGTCCAGCCTAATTCTACCTTTGTATACTTCTAACTTACATATCACACTTCCCCCACACACCATTTACCTTGATTATCATTGAAAACCATATCTAATGTATCTGAAATTTGACGTATTGAAATACCAATTGTAGCACTGTATCCACCATGGATTTGTTTGTTATTAAATAGTTTTTCATACATTTTTGGATTTAGATTGATTCGATGTAATGGGTCCAAGTAATAGTGTATGTCAATTAGAGCAAACATAGTTTACCGTGTTTGAGTGCCCATCTTATTTGACAAATGGGGGCAATATTTTGAATGATCCTATTTTATATTAATTTATTGCTGTGCTCTGTAAAATTTCGAGCGTGCTAAATCACTCTACAGTCAATCTTTGAGATTGTTCTAAAAGGGCCCCTTTTCAGAACAAAAAGAGGCCCTGAATTTTCGGACACTGATTCCGAATAGGGTTAAAATGCTCCCCTGACGAGATATTGGCGAAAAACTGTCTTGATCACGTGATATGACCGTATAAGGAAGTTAGTCTAATTTCTCGTTAGGGTTAGGGTTTCAGCATATGCTTTTGTTAAAGATTGGGTTAGGGTTAGGGTTGGGATCAGACTAGAGGGTAGGGTTTCTGGTTTCAAATGGTCGTTCAGGGCCAGCTAGAGAACGGGTTGAAAAAGTCACGTGACAGTCGAGTGTAGAGTGATTAATCATCATCCGTAAAATTTGAAAAGTATTTAATTTTAAAAATTCATCTGGTGGGCCAGCATGGTCCATTTCATTCAGCTAACTGAATCAAGGCAGTAATATAATATTGGGCGGTAATAATGTAATATATTGTTAAATAATATAGAAAGTGAAGAGAGTGAATAATTCTTGTCATATGTTGTATGACCCGCCGCGCACGAGTGCGCGGCTCCCCCTGTATCGTCGAAACTCTACAGTGAAGCGACAGTGGGGGTCACCACGTGATACAAAATAATTCATGATATAATATATATTTACAATAAAAACTAACTTTTTTATTGATCAAAATTATCATTATATGTATCAGCTGCCAAATTGGTCTAAGAACGGTTATTCACATTGATATCAATGATCAATATCATTTGTTTTTGTTATCAGTTAGGAAAAGGGAGCCACTGTAAATCACTCTACCCACTTTACTCAATTTTGGGTTTTGGTCATTTAATACAGCAAAATTCTATTACAAATAGCTTTGCGTTAAAATCATATAATCAATAATCAATAATACAACTTCAAATATATCCGCGAAATATAACAACATTTTCCAATAATTGTGTCAGACAGTGAGTCTGCTAGGGAGGTAGCTGGATTTGGTACCTAAGATTGGAGCAGTGGTGTCAGGGAAGAAGCTGCTTTGAGTTGCGGCACTGATGTCTCCTGACTTACTCACCTTTATTGGGTACCTCATCATGTGTCCTGCATCCTGCTCAGTCCTGTAAAACGTAATCAGGTGTCATGATATATATAATAGACCAGGATAGTATAAGTGAAAATATATTTGTCCATTTTTCATAGACTGACCCAGCGCGCGTGGCTATTAGATTTGGACTGTTTTGATTGACGATGTCAACCCTTCCAGATCGTTGCTCTGCGAATTAACAGAGTAACGATCTAGTTGCAAAGGAAGAATGCTAGTTTGCGCGGCGCGTCGAAGCGCGAAGTCCTTCAAGTATGATAAACTTACAAAAAACTTTTCGAAATAGTTGGGCATATCCAATCATCAAACATTATCAATTATTTTACAGCTCAAAGTAAAGTCTTTTGCTCCATTTTCATCACTATAAGTATTACCTGGGGACACCAGGCCGAATAGAGATTTGGCGGAATCAGGAATGACAGGCCAGGCTTAGCGCCGCCCAGTAATATCAAATATCAATATATCAACTCCGATATCCACAAAGTTTTTCGGAAAGTTTTTAAAGTCCAATTAGAAGGTCCTTACAAATTTTCAAAATGATCTCATTCCAGGAACCGAAGATATGACAAAATAATGACAAAATAATACAACATGAACAAAAATCAACGAATTTCGACAAATTACGCGACTTTTACACTTGACGGATGTTACTCGTCTAAATTTCTTCGAAGTAGCGCGCGCCGCTTTCTTCTCGATGACAAGTGCTACGAAGTAGCGCGCGCCGGGCCAGACCATTAACAATGGTCAACTTTTACACTTACTGAAGCTCCAAAAGCCGTGCATCATTAAATACCTAGGCGAAACTCACTGATTACACCAAAAAGTTATGGCTTTTACTAATTCGCTCGCCCAAAAATTTCACGTGACTTTAGTTTTTATGGATTTGCAGCCGTACAAAACCGTTTTTACATAAACCCTAATCCCAACCCTAACCATAACCCCGAAGCTATCCATAACCCTTACCACAACCCTGACCATAACGCGAGCCCTAAACAATCGAATTCATGTTTTACTAGCCTGTCACGTGACCAAAAAGGTTTTTTGTCCATAACTCTCCATGGAAGCATGGGGGTGATTTTGAATCAGCGTCCAAAAATACACAGATTGAAATCAATTTCATACCCAAAGGGGCCTTTTCACACGAATTTCTTGAAATGTGCAGGCGAGCGATTTAGTAGGAGCAATAGGTATGACAAATTGGGTACTGGGAAAAAGCTCACATTCTCAAGAAAACAATGGTACAAAAATTTTAAAAATATGAGCAAGTTTAATTTTATCGTGCACGTACTACTTTGCAAAACGATTTGCCTGGTTATAATATTTCGAAAAGAATGAAGAAGGCGCGCGCTATTACAAATACATTTATATACGTGTACCGTTTGTTAAAAATAGCCAGGAAAAGCTAGTTTTAATTATATTAAATAAACCGATATCAATTTCCCGGAATTTGGCAAATACTTGTACATTGTACATTACTTGTAGTTGTACATTACTTGTAGTTGTACATTACTTGTAGTTGTACATTACTTGTAGTTGTACATTACTTGTAATACTATTGTGTAATTTTTGTGTTTTGAAATTTGATATTGAAACTTGTACCGACGTCACGAAACAATGTTCACTGGTGAGTGCTAATTAATTACGTGACGTCTAAAGGCTTTTCAATGTTTTTTGTTGCCGGGGAGATTTCGTCAAGTTTAAAATATAATATCTTTTTATCAGATTAATACGTTTGTGCGGCGTGTTTATGTATTTTTTTCATTTTTCAATTCCACACCCTTTTGTAAAAAAGCAATAGTAAAAGATTACGAATGGTCGCTTTTGCAGAAAGGGATTTCGGAGAACGAGGTGGGTGGTTTAAATATATCGTATGCGCGCCGAGAGTGTATTTTAATGTATACTATGTAATGTATAGTGTTAGGTAATAAGCCCAATTTGTACGTGGCACGTGTAGCGTACTGATGTGTATAAAACATGAGTATAAATATAATTTACTTTTGCTTTCAATTTCTTGAATTACAGATCACAGATACAAGTTAAGTTCTACGGCAATTGATTTGAATTTCAAGTGTTTCCCATATTTAAAGCATAATCTATCAATATTATTATTATGAAGTGAGCTGATTAGAGCTTATACTTATAGTTATAGTGAATGGAAATCTAGCGTCCGTCAAAACGAAACAACGGGCGCAATTCTTGTTATATAGTCATCATATTCACCTTAATTGTAATACTAATAGTAGAAATAGTACTCACGATGTTTGCCAGGCTGTATTGTGCACATAACGCTGCCAGTTAGCAGCTCCTAGTTCCTGTACTCTCTTAACGCATTCCAGAGACTGAGGAAGTTCAAACACATCCTCGTACGCTCCTAGATGTTCTGCCCACAGACCCTGAGGTAGAGTGGAAACGTTTGGGCTTATAACAAAGTACATGAGGATGCCCATATATATATCTATCTATATATGTATTATAAATATATACAAACATGTATTATATTATATACAAACATGTATTATATTATATACAAACATGTATTATATTATATACAAACATGTATTATATTATATAAAAACATGTATTATATTATATACAAACGTGTTCGACAAAGTGCTCTACTATCAAATAGGAGCTTTTTATAAGATTAAGTAACAAAGTAAACGATGTTATTGTCCAACTAAATATTTCGTGTCGACGTGTGAACAATCTTCACTCTTCAGGGACATAATGATAAATACAATCAAAATAACAAACATTATACAACACAGTGCTCCTTTATCAAATGTCTAACTGAAAATTTCCTAGAATGTCTACATTTAGAGATAATCTCAAATATTTTATTTAATGAGTCTGGATTCTTTAGGATGTGCAGCTTCTCGTCTAGGCAGAAGACCACAACCAAAAGGAAACCTACATGTATGGTTTCAAGTCTAGAATGATCAGCAATGTCAAATTCCGAAACGCCAGCAATAAATTTCAGAGCCAAATGCAGAACGATATCAAGAAACTAAAATCGGGCGGGAAAGTTGTTATACTTATAAAGGCGAACCAATAAGATCCAGAGAAACTGCTTCACGATAACACTACAAGTCGCAACTAAAGTAACTAACGGAACAAAAGAGACATTTATAGAACCAACACGATCCAGTGCTACACAGAGACACCATGCTTCATTACAATTAATTAAATGAAAGAAAATGGAACAAAATTAATTAAATGAAAGACCACAAACATAATTTCACAAGCAACACTAAATGCTGATTGATAAACCCTACAAAATCTAACTAGGAAATTTCAGTAAAAAATCTTCAAAAAACTGATCTCTGCAATAAGACTTAAAACAGGGGACAATTTATAGAAGAGCACCACGGAAGTATTAACTTGGTTCAAAAACATGAAAGACCTTTAAAAAGTCCGATTTCTAAAGTTCGACATTCAGGAATTCCATCCATCTATTACAGCAGATCTTCTACTTCTAGATCGTACATTAAAACGAACAAGAGATTATCAAAACAAGGAATCCATCCTAATGTACAGCGGCAAATGCTGGGTAAATAAATCAGACACAAACTTTGGGAAGCCTGGACGGAGCTGAAACATCGGAAATAATCGGACTCTACCTTCTAAGCAAGATAAAAAAGATCATCCCTCAATAGTATTTAGGATTTTACCGTGATGATTGGCTTGCAGTCATTAATAAAACCAACGGCCAGCAACTACACTTATTACTCCAAAAGGAAGGCCTAAAAATAACAGTGGACCAATGTCAGCACTCAGTAGATTTCTTAGATGTCGTGCTTACCCCAGGCTATTATATTTATATTCTCTATATATATTTATTATAATTATATTTATGATCATAACCCAATAGAGATTTGGCGGAATGACAGGCTGAGCGCCGCCCAGTAAATGTCGTGCTTGACCTTACAGACAAGTCATATATATTATATACCTTATAGGAAACCAAACGATACACCATTGTACATAAACGCAGAGTCCAATTATCCTCCCATCATATTGAAGAACTTACCCTCAATGATAGAATCACGATTGAGCAGCATATCCAGCAATAAGGCTTGCCTCTACGAAGCCAACATCGATTATGAGAGGGTTCTTAGAGATAGCGGTCATAGTCACATCATCAACTACAGATCACCAGAGCCTATAAAGAGAAAGAGGAACGTCTTATGGTATAATCTTCCATTTAGCGCAAACATTTCAACTAACATCGGAAGCAAGATTTTCGCTATTTGATAAGCATTTCCCAAGAAACCTACCATTACACAAAATATTCAATAGGAACACAGTCAAACTAAACTATTGCTGCTTGCCTAGCTTGGGTAGGATTATCAAAAGATCAAAGGACACAACAGGTCCGCCGTAGAGAGACAACCCGAGAAAAACTGCAGAGACGTCCCTCAAAGAACAGTGTATGGCTAAATAGTCTACCGTTAGAACTACATCAAATAAGGACCTAACATTGTACATACTTACATAGGGTTTACAGAAAACAATTTCAAAACACGATGGTACAATCATCGCCAAAGCTTCAAAAACTCTAAGTAATACCGATTGAGTACATAACTACCAAAAGCAATTTTGGACCTCAAGAAGAAAAAATATACTATAGTATAGACTGGAAAATCATCACTAAATCAAATAGTTATACGGCAGGGGCGGGGCACTGCCTAAACGAGAATCCTAAAGAATCCAGACTCAATAAATAAAATATCTGAGATTATCTCTAAATGTAGACATTCTAGGAAATCTTTTCTTAGGAATTGTTAGTTATAGGTTTTAGGAATAGTTAGTAATTGTTAGTTATAGGTTTTAGGAAATTTTTGTTAATAAATTTGATAAAGGAGCACTGTTTTGTATAAAGTTTGTTATTTTAATTGTATTTATGTCCCTGAAGATTGTTCGCACATCGACATGAAACTTTTAGTTTACTTTGTTACGCTTATATATTATGTATATATTCTGCTGTACTTCTAGACATTAAGGGGACATATTATACCAAAACCTTTTTTGCCGATATTCGGGATTTGACTTCATATTAAGAAAATATAGATTACAACAAAAAGATTTGAGGCATTGAAACATTGTTTTGAGAGTAAGCACATTCGAAAAAAAAGTTTCCTTTTTGGAAGGGTTTGGAAAGTTTGAGAAGTCTATCACTGTAATACCTATATTTCAATAATTTTCAACGTTTTTTGGCTGATTTCTTTACTGAAGATTACTTACAATCCATACAAGAAGCCCTTCAAAGGATTTTATAATCAAATAATAAATGACGAAGTTACAGACCAAACAAGGTCGAGAGAAGCAAAATTGAAATTTTTGCAAAAAATCAACGTTGTATATTTTACCAATCACCCAGGTCATAAGATATCGCTTCAAAAATTCTTTTGAGTGTAGCTGATGATCATATCCAACTTTTTGGAACAGGATTCCCCTCAATTTTGAGTTTTCAGTTATGAAATCTGGCCTCAAAGGACAAAAAGGGCCAAAAATAGATGATTTTGGAAGCAAATAATTTTCTAGCTCGAACACAAATTGTACAACTTTGTACAAATTGTACACATTTGTACACATTTTTTAAACAAATTTTGTGTCTTTTAGTATTATAAATTTTGTACTAAAAGATTGTACTAAAAGATTCGTCTTACCAAGCTGATTACGATTCTGTAAAAATTATTTCAAAAAAACTGACACTTTTTGAGTTATAGGCATTTTAAGCCTTAAAATATTTAAAATTATTGAAATACTAGTGTAACCCGGCCTTCGGCCGGGATTTCACTGCCGCAGTTAAAAAGGGTAGGAGTAATTACCCGCTGAGTCAAAACCTGCATTAGGTGAGCAATTCTATTCGGAGTTCCCTCACGTATCCAATAGTATCTGTACCACGACTATTACACCTCATCACTCCCGTCTTAAACCGCTTTAAATCGTTTTAGAAATCAGTGCCCTACACTCCTAATATCACTTGCGGAGCTAACCTAATTACCAACGCTACAATCTACAGTGCAGTAATGGAAAAGAGAGCGAATAGGAAGAAAAAGTGAGCCATTTTAGTGGCTCACTCCATAATGTTGCATTAATAGTACAAAACCATCAATTAAGCAACTTACCGCCGGCCGATTTAAAAAAAATTGCATATGGGCTTCGTCAGAGTTTTGTCGACACTATACCGAAAAAACCAGTCCTGTAACTCTTACCGTTTTTTAATATAACCGACCGGAAATTACACACGCACACATCTTGGCTTTATTTGTATTGATCGGTGTAACAGTGACAGGTCACTTCTCAAAATTTCCAAAACTTTCCAAAAGAAAACTTTTTTTTTCGAATGTGCGTACTCTCAAAAAAATGTTTCAATGCCTCAAATCTTATTGTTTTAATATAAAGTCAAATCCCGAATCTCAGCAAAAAATGTTTTGGTATATGTGCCCTTAAAAGCCGGTGTTGATGTATGGTTGTTATGGTAACATACCTTGCAAAGTATGGTTGTCGCAGTAACATACCTTGCAAAGTATGGTTGTCGCAGTAACATACCTTGCAAAGTATGGTTGTCGCAGTAACATACCTTGCAAAGTATGGTTGTCGCGGTAACATACCTTGCAAAGTATGGTTGTCGCGGTAACATACCTTGCGGAGGCCCTGTACATGACCATCTGTAACAAGGTTCTCAGTGCCGGGAATTGTTTCCCAACATCCCATCGCAATCTCAGAGTCTCGTCTCCCATCCATACTCCGCTGATTTATATTAGCACTTCCCACAATAGCATAAATATCATCTACTACCATAGCCTGCAGAAAAAGTTACTTTAGTCTTATGAAACAAGTGTTACTATAGTGTTACCTTAGTCTTATGAAACAAGTGTTACTATAGTGTTACTTTAGTCTTATGAAACAAGTGTTACTATAGTGTTACTTTAGTCTTATGAAACAAGTGTTACTATAGTGTTACCTTAGTCTTATGAAACAAGTGTTACTATAGTGTTACTTTAGTCTTATGAAACAAGTGTTACTATAGTGTTACTTTAGTCTTATGAAACAAGTGTTACTATAGTGTTACTTTAGTCTTATGAAACAAGTGTTACTATAGTGTTACTTTAGTCTTATGAAACAAGTGTTACTATAGTGTTACTTTAGTCTTATGAAACAAGTGTTACTATAGTGTTACTTTAGTCTTATGAAACAAGTGTTACTATAGTGTTACTTTAGTCTTATGAAACAAGTGTTACTATAGTGTTACTTTAGTCTTATGTTCAACGTTCATTGCCCGGTACGACTACGAGTTGGACAGACAAACAGTTGTAAGAGAAAATGTGGAGGTAGAAGAAGCCGAAGATCAACTTCAAGATAGTGTTCATGCAATAATGTGATATTTACAATTCAGATTGTTAAAATTTTATAATACCTTTGACCTTGTTTTTATTGATTCAACGATATAGATTAGTCTAATGATAGCTATTGAAATTGACTGACATATTCTGCCATTCTGGACAAAAAATTCGAAATGGAAAAATTTTTGAAAAAAATTCAACGGACTTTAACTTGGACGGACATTAATTGAACGGACTTTATTTGAACGGACGTTAAGGTAAACGCTAGGGCCTCCAGCGTTCAAGTAATGTCCGTCCAAATAAGGTCCAATAAGGTATATAACTATGATATAGTATAAATCTGGGTACCCACCTTACTGTGTACGTATATCATTCCCCTGCCGTGTCTCGCCATTTTGCTAGCTGGGGTGTCTGCTTTTAACATCTGCAACGCTTCTGGTGGCTTTTCTCTCTTACCTAAGATAATATCCATTATCTGGTGGCTCTTCTCTCTTACCTAGGATAATATTCATTATCTGACGGCTTTTCTATCTTACCTAAGATAATATCCACTACCTGGTGGCTTTCTCTCTTTCCTAGGATAATATCCATTATCTGGCGGCTTTTCTCTCTTACCTAGGATAATATATATCCTCCAGATATTATAATATATAGAATATAGATTATAGATATGTGGTCGTTACACCACTGGTTGATAGAAAGGTTTGCTCCGAATAAATATGATCATTTCATGTTTTTAGCGTTTATACCTAGACAAAAGAAGTTGAGGTAATCGCAGGGGTGAGTGTCGATGTCAGCCTTGTTGATAGCCCTTGCTATCTTCTTGTACATCATGGTCATAGTTTTAGTCTGCCAGAATAGCATCTCCTGAATGTGCGGGGCACTCGGGTCTCCTGCATAGTTAGTCATGTGATATGTGTCATTATAGAACCTTATCGTTATATTATTTCCGTCGTGGAAACTGGATAGTGACTTATCGTGGTAACCGATAATTTCCCGCAAGGGTTGCAAGAGTGTTATGTAGACAGACTGTGAGTAACCTCAAAGTTTCAAAACAAATAACAGTTGCGCACTATGCATACATAATATAGTTAATACTTTCAACACTACTATATAACAAATAATTTGAGGATGACTGTAAAGTGTAAAGGTATATTTTACCGACATTTGAAGTCAAGGCGTTGTTTTACTGACAGTTGTGGCTGACTAACAATATATTATATATACTTTCAACACTACTATATAACAAATAATTTGAGATAACGATGTTTAATAAAATGATGCAAAGAATTATTTCGAAGATCTAATCAACACCGACTTTTAATGTGTAGGAGTACAGCAACAAAATATATATCAGAGACGTGTTATATTCATCACTATTTTAATATTTTTACTGCTTGATTCAGAGAAATCTAGCTTTTTCCGAGAAACTAATCTTTAATAGATTAGATAAGATGTAGATGTACGCAGCCATTCTTTTCGTTTGATTATTACTCAGTATGTTTTAGTTTTGTACCGTTTTGAGTCACATAGTTTTGTACGTCTTCCTAAGACTTGTTTTCCTTTCCTAGTTTGTAAGTTATTTTTAAGATTTGTGTATATTCCAGTTGCTTTTACTTTTAGAACAATTTTATCTCAGATAACGATGTTTAATAAAATGATGCAAAGAACTATTTCGAAGATCTAATCAACACCGACTTTTAATGTGTAGGAGTACAGCAACAAAATATATATATATAAACATGTACCTGAATCCCAAGGCACACAAACCACCTTTGTATCCTGGGAGGATGATTACCACCGGCTGTGGTTCATACATTGAAAACCTTTCTGCCTTGACTGCGTATGAATTGAAGAAGGCTACTTTGAATTATAGAATTATTGATACCCCTCACTTTCTGAGGAAGATTGATAGCCTGAACGAGTCTAGCATATTGTTGGGAAAGGAGGTTATACATGTTGCCATCGATATATCTAACATGTTTACCAACATTCCTAGGGATATGGGGATCCAACAATGCACTAAGCACCTGAATAAAAGGAGTAGTGGTGATCAATTGTTTAGTACAGAATGCATTATTAGTGCACTAGAAATTACTCTTGATTACAACATTGCTTCATTTAACGGTATAACATACCGCCAGGAGCGTGGAGCAGCGATGGGTCCTAAGAACTCATGTGAGTATGCTGATTGTGCTATGGATAAGATTGATATCTTAGTTAACGAAGGAGATCTAGAATATGGCCCGCCTCATAGACCAGCATTCTGGGGTAGATTACGTGATGACATTTATATGGCTTGGCCCGGTACTGTTGAGGAACTATTACAATTCATGGAATGGCTCAATAGTATCCACCCAAACCTTTTGTTTACTTACGACTACTCTAGGGACGGCGTTGAGTTTCTAGACACCTATGTCTATGCTGTTGGTGATGTTGTCCACACCAAACTCTACTCTAAACCTAGTGACACCCACTGCTACCTTATCCCCACGTCATGCCATAGGAACCATGTTGTAAAAAACATACCTTTTGGAGTGGCGAGGCGGGTGAGACAGAACAACAGTGAAGACACTAACTTCTTGGAGCAGAGAGAGGTCTATACACGTTACCTTCTAGCCCGAGGTTATCATTCCAGTATTATAGAAGATGCCTTTAACAAATTTAGTGATATAGCTAATAGGAAAAACTTGTATACCCTTAAAGACAAGGATGAGTCGACTGCCTGTTTAATACCCATGGTGATGGATCAAAATCCAGCACTTCCCAACATGGGGGGCATTATCCATAAGTATAAGCACCTTCTCAACCTTGATCCGGCCCTGAAGAAGCTGGTACGTGCGGACAGTGTATTCGTGAGTCATCGAAAGAATCAAACTATCGGTGGCATGCTTGTACACAATAAGTACCGTGCCAGTGGAACTTTAAACTGTGACAATGAGAGAGAAACAACTGCAAGTCAGATCCAGGAACCAGACTCCGAAAGTCTAAGGGCGGTTCCCGGGGCTGTCGACCCAGGGTGCCATGCTTGTGGTAAATGCTATGTTTGTAAGCAAAATTTCCTGTCCCCCTGTTCCAACTTTAGTAGTCACCATTCTAAACAAGTTTTCCCTATAACTAAGTATATATCTTGTCAGAGTTATAACCTCATTTATTTAATGGAGTGTAAGACTTGTAAACAGTCGTATGTAGGATATACTACCTCAAATCTCCCTAAGAGATTCTCTAACCATAAGAGTCACATAAAGAAAGGTATAAGAAGTTGTAAATTAGTTAACCATTTTTTAGATATTGATCATGATTTAGATTTTAGTACCATAGCCTCCTATAATTCCTCACTTAGTAAGCACCTTTCTGTCATTATAGTAGACGCTTTAGTATTTGAGCCTAATATTAGTAAAGCAGACAAAGAAAAGGCTATGGAAGCTAGAGAGGGGTTCTACCAGACCCAATTGAAAACCCTTGAACGGTTTGGGGGTATGAACACCCTTGATAGTAACCATATACTTTTTAAATCTGCCGGAGCTTAGTTTTAGTTTTAGTATATTTTGTAGATTTTATTTAGTTACACCATTATCCCAGAGACGTGCATACTACATTTTTTACTTAAGTATTAATTTTACAGGTTTTTTGTTGTGATTTTAAGTGATTTTCCGAGAATCAGTTATCAGTATTTAGATAAGAGATAAGATAAGAGTACATTTTTAACGGCTTTCAGTTTCTTTTTTAAATTTCAGTTCATCAGATTTCACCACTGCTTTTAGTTTGTATTTATTCTCAATTGTATATGATTCGTATTTGTTGTAGTTACTTTAATGATATAATTTCTCAGAATTGATGTAAATAAATGATGCAAAGACTTTCGATGATCTAATCACAACCGCTTTCTTTTATTGTGTAGAAGTCCAGCCATGAAATATATATATATATATATCCACGCAGCCTAGCGGGCGGAAATTTATATCGCCCTCGCACGCGCGGCGATATAATATATGTCCCCGAGGGCGCACAGCCCGAGGACGACATATCCCCGGAGGCCGGCCCGTTGGGCCCGAGTGCTATACGGAATTCCGCCCGCGAGGCGAGTAGGATATGTATTATGTCCACCAGCGGGCGCTTTACAGTTTCCAACAATCATAGCAAATAGAAGTTAAAAGATTTCGAACTCAAGTTGCAAATTTACGAGAAAATCATGCTTTTGCCTTTGGTTCAAGATGCCGAACAGGGCAAAATTACTGATTATAGAACACATGCAATAGAAGAATAGAGCACCGACAAAAAACCGGCCGTTATCAAAAAATTTGTCAGCTTATTGCTTCATGTAATTGTAAACGATCATAATGCAAGCACTCGCCATGAGTGTGAGTTCGCAACTGTAAGCATCTATGACTAAAGTTTCCAGGAGAGTATGAGACGGAGAAAACGTGAGGGCAGAAAGTCAAATTCGCAAAAACAACATTTAACTGGCGGTGTCAAAACAGGGCAAGTTTCTATTCGGTACACAATATATTTACAATTAGTACAAATCCGGCCTGAATATATTAAAAAACAAAATTCAGCTTACTACACAGCTTACACCATCAAAAGGAGAATACGTACTATAAGTATAATAATGGTATTACACATCAACCGAATCGATGAACAGTCAACGGGATGTTAATCACTTAATCATTAACATAGATTTAAAACTGTGTATCTCCACTCTCCATCAACCCATGCTACGAATAACAAAGAATTCCTGTTACCATATGTGCAATGAGAGTTAAACTTAATCACATTACACATCTTACAGGAGCCAATCAGCCACCGTCAATAGTTAACGGGACGGATTAAATTTAATTAAACACGCTTGACAAGTGGAAAATGTGCTATAGAGGAATTCTGCGTGGGTGTCTATCGCTCTATTTGATATCCCGGCTCTTCCCGCGAATTCTCACTCAAAAACCCGGACGAATCTATAATTTACTCACCCTCAGGGAAGAGGGGAACTAGAATGTACGCTGTGAAGCGCCTCCCTTTTTCTATCATCTCGCAGATTTGCAGTGCTATCTCAACCGGTACCAGGTGGTTACATCTCGGACCTGGAGAGGTTAGAAACTTTTGTCAGGAATACAACACTTTTGTCAGGGGTAAAAATCTTTTTCAATTTGTGGTTAAAAAGTGTTCTCATTTTCAAATTAATTCTGAGTCAAATTGAATTTCAGCATGGAAAATATTTTAAAGAAATTGGAAAATGCATGCAATATTTTCTTTATATACCACATAATATACACTGTACACACTGTATCAGCGCATAAAAATGTCTCCCGCACAGGGGTGCTATAGTAAAATGTCTCCCGCACAGGGGTGCTATAGTACAATGTCTCCCGCACAGGGGTGCTATAGTACAATGTCTCCCGCACAGGGGTGCTATAGTACAATGTCTCCCGCACAGGGGTGCTATAGTACAATGTCTCCCGCACAGGGGTGCTATAGTACAATGTCTCCCGCACAGGGGTGCTATAGTACAATGTCTCCCGCACAGGGGTGCTATAGTACAATGTCTCCCGCACAGGGGTGCTATAGTACAATGTCTCCCGCACAGGGGTGCTATAGTACAATGTCTCCCGCACAGGGGTGCTATAGTACAATGTCTCCCGCACAGGGGTGCTATAGTACAATGTCTCCCGCACAGGGGTGCTATAGTACAATGTCTCCCGCACAGGGGTGCTATAGTACAATGTCTCCCGCACAGGGGTGCCATAGTACAATGTCTCCCGCACAGGGGTGCTATAGTACAATGTCTCCCGCACAGGGGTGCTATAGTACAATGTCTCCCGCACAGGGGTGCCATAGTACAATGTCTCCCGCACAGGGGTGCTATAGTACAATGTCTCCCGCACAGGGGTGCTATAGTACAATGTCTCCCGCACAGGGGTGCTATAGTACAATGTCTCCCGCACAGGGGTGCTATAGTACAATGTCTCCCGCACAGGGGTGCTATAGTACAATGTCTCCCGCACAGGGGTGCCATAGTACAATGTCTCCCGCACAGGGGTGCTATAGTACAATGTCTCCTGCACAGGGGTGCTATAGTACAATGTCTCCCGCACAGGGGTGCTATAGTACAATGTCTCCCGCACAGGGGTGCTATAGTACAATGTCTCCCGCACAGGGGTGTTATAGTACAATGTCTCCCGCACAGGGGTGCTATAGTACAATGTCTCCCGCACAGGGGTGCTATAGTACAATGTCTCCCGCACAGGGGTGCCATAGTACAATGTCTCCCGCACAGGGGTGCTATAGTACAATGTCTCCCGCACAGGGGTGCTATAGTACAATGTCTCCCGCACAGGGGTGCTATAGTACAATGTCTCCCGCACAGGGGTGCTATAGTACAATGTCTCCCGCACAGGGGTGCTATAGTACAATGTCTCCCGCACAGGGGTGCTATAGTACAATGTCTCCCGCACAGGGGTGCTATAGTACAATGTCTCCCGCACAGGGGTGCTATAGTACAATGTCTCCCGCACAGGGGTGCTATAGTACAATGTCTCCCGCACAGGGGTGCTATAGTACAATGTCTCCCGCACAGGGGTGCTATAGTACAATGTCTCCCGCACAGGGGTGCTATAGTACAATGTCTCCCGCACAGGGGTGCTATAGTACAATGTCTCCCGCACAGGGGTGCTATAGTACAATGTCTCCCGCACAGGGGTGTTATAGTACAATGTCTCCCGCACAGGGGTGCTATAGTACAATGTCTCCCGCACAGGGGTGCTATAGTACAATGTCTCCCGCACAGGGGTGCTATAGTACAATGTCTCCCGCACAGGGGTGCTATAGTACAATGTCTCCCGCACAGGGGTGCTATAGTACAATGTCTCCCGCACAGGGGTGCTATAGTACAATGTCTCCCGCACAGGGGTGCTATAGTACAATGTCTCCCGCACAGGGGTGCTATAGTACAATGTCTCCCGCACAGGGGTGCTATAGTACAATGTCTCCCGCACAGGGGTGCTATAGTACAATGTCTCCCGCACAGGGGTGCTATAGTACAATGTCTCCCGCACAGGGGTGCTATAGTACAATGTCTCCCGCACAGGGGTGCTATAGTACAATGTCTCCCGCACAGGGGTGCTATAGTACAATGTCTCCCGCACAGGGGTGCTATAGTACAATGTCTCCCGCACAGGGGTGCTATAGTACAATGTCTCCCGCACAGGGGTGCTATAGTACAATGTCTCCCGCACAGGGGTGCTATAGTACAATGTCTCCCGCACAGGGGTGCTATAGTACAATGTCTCCCGCACAGGGGTGCTATAGTACAATGTCTCCCGCACAGGGGTGCTATAGTACAATGTCTCCCGCACAGGGGTGCTATAGTACAATGTCTCCCGCACAGGGGTGCTATAGTACAATGTCTCCCGCACAGGGGTGCTATAGTACAATGTCTCCCGCACAGGGGTGCTATAGTACAATGTCTCCCGCACAGGGGTGCTATAGTACAATGTCTCCCGCACAGGGGTGCTATAGTACAATGTCTCCCGCACAGGGGTGCTATAGTACAATGTCTCCCGCACAGGGGTGCTATAGTACAATGTCTCCCGCACAGGGGTGCTATAGTACAATGTCTCCCGCACAGGGGTGCTATAGTACAATGTCTCCCGCACAGGGGTGCTATAGTACAATGTCTCCCGCACAGGGGTGCTATAGTACAATGTCTCCCGCACAGGGGTGCTATAGTACAATGTCTCCCGCACAGGGGTGCTATAGTACAATGTCTCCCGCACAGGGGTGCTATAGTACAATGTCTCCCGCACAGGGGTGCTATAGTACAATGTCTCCCGCACAGGGGTGCTATAGTACAATGTCTCCCGCACAGGGGTGCTATAGTACAATGTCTCCCGCACAGGGGTGCTATAGTACAATGTCTCCCGCACAGGGGTGCTATAGTACAATGTCTCCCGCACAGGGGTGCTATAGTACAATGTCTCCCGCACAGGGGTGCTATAGTACAATGTCTCCCGCACAGGGGTGCTATAGTACAATGTCTCCCGCACAGGGGTGCTATAGTACAATGTCTCCCGCACAGGGGTGCTATAGTACAATGTCTCCCGCACAGGGGTGCTATAGTACAATGTCTCCCGCACAGGGGTGCTATAGTACAATGTCTCCCGCACAGGGGTGCTATAGTACAATGTCTCCCGCACAGGGGTGCTATAGTACAATGTCTCCCGCACAGGGGTGCTATAGTACAATGTCTCCCGCACAGGGGTGCTATAGTACAATGTCTCCCGCACAGGGGTGCTATAGTACAATGTCTCCCGCACAGGGGTGCTATAGTACAATGTCTCCCGCACAGGGGTGCTATAGTACAATGTCTCCCGCACAGGGGTGCTATAGTACAATGTCTCCCGCACAGGGGTGCTATAGTACAATGTCTCCCGCACAGGGGTGCTATAGTACAATGTCTCCCGCACAGGGGTGCTATAGTACAATGTCTCCCGCACAGGGGTGCTATAGTACAATGTCTCCCGCACAGGGGTGCTATAGTACAATGTCTCCCGCACAGGGGTGCTATAGTACAATGTCTCCCGCACAGGGGTGCTATAGTACAATGTCTCCCGCACAGGGGTGCCATAGTACAATGTCTCCCGAGGTAGGTACTTCTCCCGGAGATAAAGTATTAAAAACTGAGATATAGTGTCCTCGTTTTCCTATTCATGCTATTGATCGCAACCTCTGTATGTAATTAAATGGGATCAGCTGTAAAAAGAAGATACTAGGTGTAAAGAGTTGACATGCACACAGCACATTACAGAAGATGCTCAATAACAAAAGGCACTCTCTTTGCTTACTATGGTACCAAGAAAATGGTTTTAATACTTTCACGTCTTTAAGGTAGGTCTGTACAACATCTAGATTGTGACCTGCAGGTTAATCAGGTTACCATGGTTAATCAGGTTACCATGGTTGATCAGGTTACCATGGTTAATCAGGTTACCATGGTTAATCAGGTTACCATGGTTGATCAGGTTACCATGGTTGATCAGGTTACCATGGTTGATCAGGTTACCATGGTTGATCAGGTTACCATGGTTAATCAGGTTACCATGGTTGATCAGGCTACCATGGTTGATCAGGTTACCATGGTTGATCAGGTTACCATGGTTAATCAGGTTACCATGGTTAATCAGGTTACCATGGTTAATCAGGTTACCATGGTTAATCAGGTTACCATGGTTACACTTACAGAGTTAACCGGTCAGTTCCCTTTACTCTTACAGTTCTTAGACAGTTGAAACCAACCTCGATCGATGTATTTCCGAACGCTGATTCCGAATCACCCCCCCCCACCCCCCCGCGACCGACATAGGGTTAAAATGCTCCCATGGCGAGATAAGATATCGGCGAAAAACTGTCTTGATCACGTGATATGACCTTATAAGGAAGTTGGTCTAATTTCTCTCTAGGGTTAGCCCGTAGCCGTTAGGGTTTCAGCATATGCTTCAGTTAGGGTTGGGTTATGGTTAGGGTTGGGATCAGATTATAGGGTTAGGGTTTCGAATAGTCATTCAGGGCCAAAGTGAGAAAAAAAAATGTTTAAAAAGTCACGTGACAGTCGAGTGTAGAGTGATTAATTATCATCCCTTAAAACGACCTCTGCTTGCCAGGGTAACTATATATACAGAGTTGCCAGGGTAACTATATATAATAGTATATATGCACGGTTGCCATGGTAACTATATATACAATGAAACAATAAGTTTTCAATGAAACAATAAGTTTTATTTTACATTCCTTCATCATAAATAAAATAAAAGTTAAAACCACGATTTACTTAACTCGAAATAAATTTAGTAGAATACTATTTGTGATTGTATATAATTATTTATTAAACTATATTTGAATGTTAGTATTTGTATTATGGCAAGTGGTTGAGTTTCGTAAGACAGGGTCAGTTTCTCTATAGTCTTACAAAATTTCTACTTTTCAGTAGTCAATGCTGAGTGGCAGGAATGAGGGACCAAAACGCTTGGGGCTAACAATGGCCTATTTACAAACCACTTCAGAAATGGCAATAATATCATTTATGCTTAATTTGTCTGAAACTGACCCTATACAGGGTTGGATAAAAATATATGCACGGTTGCCAGGGTAACTATTATACACTGTTGTCAGGGTGGCTATATTTGCACGGTTGCCAGGGTAACTATTATACACTGTTGTCAGGGTGGCTATATTTGCACGGTTGCCAGGGTAACTATTATACACTGTTGTCAGGGTGGCTATATTTGCACGGTTGCCAGGGTAACTATTATACACTGTTGTCAGGGGGGCTATATTTGCACGGTTGCCAGGGTAACTATTATACACTGTTGTCAGGGTGGCTATATTTGCACGGTTGCCAGGGTAACTATTATACACTGTTGTCAGGGTGGCTATATTTGCACGGTTGCCAGGGTAACTATTATACACTGTTGTCAGGGTGGCTATATTTGAACGGTTGCCAGGGTAACTATTATACACTGTTGTCAGGGTGGCTATATTTGCACGGTTGCCAGGGTAACTATTTTACACTGTTGTCAGGGTGGCTATATTTGCACGGTTGCCAGGGTAACTATTATACACTTTTTTCAGGGTGGCTATATTTGCACGGTTGCCAGGGTAACTATTATACACTGTTGTCAGGGTGGCTATATTTGCACGGTTGCCAGGGTAACTATTATAGACTGTTGTCAGGGTGGCTATATTTGAACGGTTGCCTGGGTAACTATTATACACTGTTGTCAGGGTGGCTATATTTGCACGGTTGCCAGGGTAACTATTATACACTGTTGTCAGGGTGGCTATATTTGCACGGTTGCCAGGGTAACTATTATACACTTTTTTCAGGGTGGCTATATTTGCACGGTTGCCAGGGTAACTATTATACACTGTTGTCAGGGGGGCTATATTTGCACGGTTGCCAGGGTAACTATTATACACTGTTGTCAGGGTGGCTATATTTGCACGGTTGCCAGGGTAACTATTATACACTGTTGCCAGGGTAACTATTTTACACTGTTGCCAGGGTAACTATTATACACTGTTGCCAGGGTAACTATTATACACTGTTGTCAGGGTGGCTATATTTGCACGGTTGCCAGGGTAACTATTATACACTGTTGTCAGGGTGGCTATATTTGCACGGTTGCCAGGGTAACTATTATACACTGTTGCCAGGGTAACTATTATACACTGTTGCCAGGGTAAGTATTATACACTGTTGCCAGGGTAACTATTTTACACTGTTGCCAGGGTAACTATTATACACTGTTGCCAGGGTAACTATTATACACTGTTGCCAGGGTAACTATTATACACTGTTGCCAGGGTAACTATTATACACTGTTGCCAGGGTAACTATTATACACTGTTGCCAGGGTAACTATTATACACTGTTGCCAGGGTAACTATTATACACTGTTGTCCAGGGTAACTATTATACACTGTTGCCAGGGTAACTATTATACACTGTTGCCAGGGTAACTATTATACACTGTTGCCAGGGTAACTATTATACACTGTTGCCAGGGTAACTATTATACACTGTTGCCAGGGTAACTATTATACACTGTTGCCAGGGTAACTATTATACACTGTTGCCAAGGTAACTATTATACACTGTTGCCAGGGTAACTATTATACACTGTTGCCAGGGTAAGTATTATACACTGTTGCCAGGGTAACTATTTTACACTGTTGCCAGGGTAACTATTATACACTGTTGCCAGGGTAACTATTATACACTGTTGCCAGGGTAACTATTATACACTGTTGCCAGGGTAACTATTATACACTGTTGCCAGGGTAAGTATTATACACTGTTGCCAGGGTAACTATTATACACTGTTGCCAGGGTAAGTATTATACACTGTTGCCAGGGTAACTATTTTACACTGTTGCCAGGGTAACTATTATACACTGTTGCCAGGGTAACTATTATACACTGTTGCCAGGGTAACTATTATACACTGTTGCCAGGGTAACTATTATACACTGTTGCCAGGGTAAGTATTATACACGGTTGCCAGGGTAACTATTATACACTGTTGCCAGGGTAAGTATTATACACTGTTGCCAGGGTAACTATTATACACTGTTGCCAGGGTAACTAAGTGTTTACTCACTTCCTTTCTCGTACCACGTGTGGGCGCTCCCCAGGAAGTACTGGTTCTCTATGTACAGAAAGTTCTCAGCATTTCTTACTCCAGACACGTACGCTCTGTGAATACTCGCCTCGTACCTTCGCCCGTGCTGAAACCAACAAATTTATAAATATTTATATTTTAGGCTGTAACCTAATTAGTCCTTAACTCATAATATTGAGAAACAGAGTAAAGGAGTAATGACCAAACTACAGAGCCATGGAATATAGTTATGGAATACCTCAAATCCGTGGGTATATTATGTTGCCTGAAGTACCTTGGATTGGAGCATGTGCTTCTTGTTTTCATCAAATAGAGCAGCATCGACAGGAATGGAGCGGTAAATCTGTACTCTCCAGTTTGAGTCCACCTGGTCCTCTTCTCCGCGACACTCAACATTTTTTATCTGAAAAAAGTCGATAAAAAATATTTAAACAATTATTAAACTCCGTATTTCTAAACAAAGTACAAAGTTAGTGTATTAACGAGGAGCTAATAATACTCACATCTCCAGGATTCTCCATACTCCACCTCTCAGTGAAGTTAGCGAGCACATCTAGTGCTGCCTCCCCAGTTACTCGGCAGTGCACGTCATGCCACGGCTGTCGGGGTCCTTCTTCTGGCGTTGTTATTCCAGGAAACGTCTGGGGATAACATGAGCTAATGTTAGGTAGTACCCATAACTAGCATAACAACATGAGCTAATGTTAGGTAGTAACCATAACTAGCATAACAACATGAGCTAATGTTAGGTAGTAACCATAACTAGCACGAAAACATGAGCTAATGCTAGGTAGTAACCATAACTACCATGATAACATGAGCTAATGTAAGGTAGTAACCATAACTAGCATGATAACATGAGCTAATGTTAGGTAGTAACCATAACTAGCACGACAACATGAGCAAATGTTAGGTAGTAACCATAACTACCACAATAACATGAGCTAATGTTAGGTAGTAACCATAACTACCATGATAACGTAAGCTAATGTTAGGTAGTAACCATAACTAGCACGACAACATGAGCTAATGTTAGGTAGTAACCATAACTAGCATAACAACATGAGCCAATGTTAGGTAGTAACCATAACTAGCACGACAACATGAGCTAATGTTAGGTAGTAACCATAACTACCATGATAACATGAGCTAATGTAAGGTAGTAACCATAACTAGCATGATAACATGAGCTAATGTTAGGTAGTAACCATAACTACCACGACAACATGAGCAAATGTTAGGTAGTAACCATAACTACCACAATAACATGAGCTAATGTTAGGTAGTAACCATAACTACCATGATAACGTAAGCTAATGTTAGGTAGTAACCATAACTAGCACGACAACATGAGCTAATGTTAGGTAGTAACCATAACTAGCATAAAAACATGAGCTAATGTTAGGTAGTGACCATAACTACCATGACAACATGAGCTAATGTTAGGTAGTAACCATAACTACCACGATAACATGAGCTAATGTTAGGTAGTAACCATAACTACCACGATAACATGAGCTAATGTTAGGTAGTAACCATAACTGGCATGATAACATGAGCTAATGTTAGGTAATAACCATAACTAGCATAACAACATGAGCTAATGTTAGGTAGTAACCATAACTACCATAATAACATGAGCTAATGTTAGGTAGTAACCATAACTACCATGATAACATGAGCTAATGTAAGGTAGTAACCATAACTACCATGATAACATGAGCTAATGTTAGGTAGTAACCATAACTAGCACGACAACATGAGCTAATGTTAGGTAGTAACCATAACTACCATGATAACATGAGCTAATGTTAGGTAGTAACCATAAGTCATAACTAGCATGATAACATGAGCTAATGTTAGGTAGTAACCATAACTACCATGATAACATGAGCTAATGTTAGGTAGTAACCATAACTACCATGATAACATTAGCTAATGTTAGGTAGTAACCATAACTAGCATGATAACATGAGCTAATGTTAGGTTGTAACCATAACTAGCACGACAACATGAGCTAATGTTAGGTAGTAACCATAACTACCATGATAACATGAGCTAATGTAAGGTAGTAACCATAACTAGCATGATAACATGAGCTAATGTTAGGTAGTAACCATAACTACCATGATAACATGAGTTAATGTTAGGTAGTAACCATAACTACCATGATAACATGAGCTAATGTTAGGTAGTAACCATAACTAGCATAACAACATGAGCTAATGTTAGGTAGTAACCATAACTACCATGATAACAAGAGCTAATGTTAGGTAGTAACCATAACTAGCATAACAACATGAGCTAATGTTAGGTAGTAACCATAACTACCACGATAACATGAGCTAATGTTAGGTAGTAACCATAACTACCATGATAAAATAAGCTAATGTTAGGTAGTAACCATAACTACCATGATAACATGAGCTAATGTTAGGTAGTAACCATAACTACCATGATAACATTAGCTAATGTTAGGTAGTAACCATAACTAGCATGATAACATAAGCTAATGTTAGGTAGTAACCATAACTAGCATAACAACATGAGCTAATGTTAGGTAGTAACCATAACTACCACGATAACATGAGCTAATGTTAGGTAGTAACCATAACTACCATGATAACATAAGCTAATGTTAGGTAGTAACCATAACTACCATGATAACATGAGCTAATGTTAGGTAGTAACCATAACTACCATGATAACATGAGTTAATGTTAGGTAGTAACCATAACTACCATGATAACATGAGTTAATGTTAGGTAGTAACCATAACTACCATGATAACATGAGCTAATGTTAGGTAGTAACCATAACTAGCATGATAACATAAGCTAATGTTAGGTAGTTACCATAACTAGCATAACAACATGAGCTAATGTTAGGTAGTAACCATAACTACCACGATAACATGAGCTAATGTTAGGTAGTAACCATAACTACCATGATAACATAAGCTAATGTTAGGTAGTAACCATAACTACCATGATAACATGAGCTAATGTTAGGTAGTAACCATAACTACCATGATAACATTAGCTAATGTTAGGTAGTAACCATAACTAGCATGATAACATGAGCTAATGTTAGGTAGTAACCATACGTCATAACTAGCATGATAACATGAGCTAATGTTAGGTAGTAACCATAACTACCATGATAACATGAGCTAATGTTAGGTAGTAACCATAACTAGCATAACAACATGAGTTAATGTTAGGTAGTAACCATAACTACCATGATAACATTAGCTAATGTTAGGTAGTAACCATAACTAGCACGATAACATGAGCTAATGTTAGGTAATAACCATAACTAGCATGATAACATGAGCTAATGTTAGGTAGTAACCATAACTACCATGATAACATGAGCTAATGTTAGGTAGTAACCATAACTACCACGATAACATGAGCTAATGTTAGGTAGTAACCATAACTACCATGATAACATGAGTTAATGTTAGGTAGTAACCATAACTAGCATGATAACATGAGCTAATGTTAGGTAGTAACCATAACTACCATGATAACATGAGCTAATGTTAGGTAGTAACCATAACTACCACGATAACATGAGCTAATGTTAGGTAGTAACCATAACTACCATGATAACATGAGCTAATGTTAGGTAGTAACCATAACTAGCATGATAACATGAGCTAATGTTAGGTAGTAACCATAACTACCATGATAACATGAGTTAATGTTAGGTAGTAACCATAACTACCATGATAACATGAGCTAATGTTCTAGGTAGTAACCATAACTACCACGATAAGAACCGCAATAAAATACCTGATAGAAATCCTCTTGGTGTTGATTATTGGTTGTGCTAAAAAGGCTGTGATTCTGGTCATCATATCTCCCCAAAGTGAGGTCCAACCCTCCCAGATACGCTACCCTACCACACGCTGCTCTATCATCGTCACATATCACTGAGGAAAGGTGTTTCTAGTGATGTGAGTAGACGTTGTTACTTACCAGTTTTCTGGTGATGAGAGTAGGTGTTACTAACCAGTTTTCTGGTGATGAGAGAAGGTGTTACTAACCAGTTTTCTGGTGATGAGAGAAGGAGGTGTTACTAACGAAAGTCTCTAACATTCCTCTTTTGTTTTTCTGTCTGACAGCTAGCACGCACTTCACCTAAATCATTCTAATTTCAACTTTCTGTGGAAACGTTACCTTATTAAAGTTACTACTTTAAGCAAAATGAGCAGCACGTATGATGCGCGTTAGAAATTAACCTTGGTGTTGGAGAAGAATATTCTGGTAACTTCGTCATTAGTTCCCACAACACCAGACATGGCTAATTCCTCGTTGTTAAACGGCTCGTCCCAGAGCAACACCTAAAATATACCTATATAATGAGTTAACTAGTTAACAACAGAGCAACGAGTTGTAACTATAGCAACACCTTCATAACGAGTTGTTACTATAGCAACACCTTTATAACGAGTTGTTACTATAGCAACACCTTTATAACGAGTTATAACTGTAGCAGCACCTTTATAACGAGTTGTAACTATAGCAACACCTTTATAACGAGTTATAACTGTAGCAACAACTTTATTACGAGTTGTAACTATAGCAACACCTTTATAACGAGTTATAACTGTAGCAACAACTTTACTACGAGTTGTAACTATAGCAACACCTTTATAACGAGTTGTAACTATAGGAACACCTTTAAAACGAGATGTAACTATAGGAACACCTTTAAAACGAAATGTAAGTTGTAACTGTTACGAGTTAATTGTTAACTAGTTAACAATGTGAACACTTACAGTTTATACTTTTCTTTGTCCTCACTAATTAAATTATTTACCCACCAGAACTTGGACCCCCTCACTAGCTTTCTGTTTCAGGATCTCCCCCAACTGAGCGCTGCATTTAGTTTTCTCCCAGTCGCGTGGATCTCTTTTTAGTCGTATAGTATGAGTCATTGACCATCCTGCAACCAGATAATAGGTGAGTAGAGGTAACCAGCTAATAGGTTAGTAGAGGGAAACCTCCTGTACTCAGGTAACCAGTTAATAGGTGAGGAGAGGGAAATCTCACTTGACGACTCACCGGTAATATAGATGAAACGTTTGGCGCTGCTGATGCTGTCCGAAATGTCGTCCCATGCTGATCTGGCTAAGAGTGGGGAGCCGTGTACTTTTATCTGCTGATGAGCCGGGGAGGGCAGACAAGTGGCGTCTTGGTACAAGGTTACTTGTCCTGTCTATAAAAGGGGGAGGTATTGGTTAATTTTGTTTCTCAACATTTACATAATATTAAAATATCTTATCTCTCAACACAAATATAAGGGGGTGCACCCTAAATTTGATGTGAAGCTTGTTATCGAGATAGTAGATTACAAATTAACTAGGACATGTGACCAAAATATTGAGGGGTCCCAGACCCCAACCTACCGCGGGTACCGGTAGGTACCTCAAAAGTTGAAAGGGTTTTGAGTCAAAACCCTTTCAACTCATTATTTTATGGTTCTTCTAGTTCTACCGATCATAGCCCTAAAATATGTTCGCTAAATATGTAGATAATTGTCATATGGAACTATCCTATGAACTGGAAATTCAAAAATTTGGTCAAACATGGCAGCAAGGGGCCATGTAAACTCTGCCACGTTTTTAAAATGTGACAATGTTGGCATCTCACCGCCGCGCCGGCCGAATTTAAGCGATATCTTATCATCTGATAAATATATCGTTATGTGACAAAGTTTCCCTAGAGGATGAGACGATTATCCTAACCATGGAATTGGAAGGTTTTTATAGTTTCATAGTGCGACAAATTTTACCTCATCGTCCCATTTAATAGGGCCACTAATATTATATTATTTACCAATATCCTCAAACTTCATTGATTGACGATGTCAACCCATCGAGATCGTTGCTCTGCGAAGCAAAATCAGAATGCTAGTTCGCGCGGCGCGTCGAAGCGGCGAATTCCTCCAACAAACTTCAATGAACATGTCCATAAATCAAAAAAAATGTGTAGTCTATGCTTACATTTTATATAGGTGCTGCCGTGTTTGACCAAAATTTACATTTATCTATACATCACATCTCCGCAAGGAACCCTCGCGCGCTGCGCGAAGCTAGTTGACATGGTAACGGACGGAAGTAAGGACTGACGACACATTTAAAACCACCCACCTTGTTCTCCAAAATTCAATCCCTCTTTTTCTGCGAAAACGACCATTCGTAACTTTATGTAGGTTTACAACCTACCAGGACGCGCGCCGAGTTGGACTCGTCGACGGAACAAATATTTTACGAGTATTACCCGTTAAGTAACTTTTCACTAAACATTTGTTTGTCATATGTTGTATGACTCGCCGCGCACGAGTGCGCGGCTCCTCCTGTATCGTAAGAACGGGGGAAACGACCGTGGGGCCGGTCACGACGTAATACAAAAGCAACCCTCGCGCGCTGCGCGCGGCTAGTTGACATGGTAACGGACGGAAGTAAGTAAGTAAGGACTGACGACATACCCAGCAAAATTTACTGGCTGACGGTGTTACTAGAACTGGTTCAATTTAAATAGACGGCCGGCTTGACCTCGCGCGCGACATTAAGTGATTTGAACGAGCGCCACATTCCAATCTTCAAGCACCTAGCACGTGACACAATTCAGCCAATCAGAGGACAGTAATCCGCAAAGTTAAAGTTGCCAACTTTTGATTGGCCCAAAAATAAAATGAGACTTTTCTGGAGATTTTGAGATAACTCAAAAACTCAACAACTACGCTGTTCTAAATTTTCCTCCTGGGGAGGTAACCTTAGTTTTACGAAACGAAAATTTTGTTGAAAACCTTGATACATGTTTCGTATCCCAATATTAGATATTTCGGCGGCTTCGCGCGCGAAAAGTGGCATGCAACGTATGTCAATGAAAACCAAACGTTTGTATCTCTTATTTTTGAAGTTAGGCCTCTACCAGTAAGGTATTCTGCATGGGTATTTAAACCCACCCACCTTGTTCTACAAAATCCTTATTTTTCCGCAAAAACAATCATTCGTAACCTTTCACTGAACATTTTTTCAAAATTGTGAAATGGAAAATAATGAAAAAATCCAGGATTAGGTGTAAAATTGCATTTTTGGCGACTAAATTCAAATATTTGCCGCCATATGTTTTTTATCTCTAAAGATTGATAATAATAATATAATATTTTATCTCAGAAGGAATGTTGTAATTATAGTTCCTCGTATGTTCCTCGTATGGCTAGGGATTGCTAGGGATTGCGCATCCTTGCACCACCACCGTCCTCTACAGGAGTACGTAGAGACCAGAAAGGATTGCAGCTGAAAAACATCTGCACTGAGTACAAAGTCATCCAACTTATTAAGGGACACCAACTTTGTAACTCTAGTGACCCCTACATCAAAAAAAGTGTACTCTAACCATAAGGCTATTGCAGACACACAGAAGATGTGGTCTTATCCCAAAGAGCTGAAAGACCGTCAGCGCCAACTTTACTTCCAAGAGTTAGTTGGAAAACCTGCAGTTGGTACAACTGGCCTCGGTTATGGGACAAGATATGAGGACACATCAGAGAGGAAACTGCTAACCAACATGGTGAGGACCTTTGATGAAGAGACACTTATTTGTTCACTTTTTGACAAAAAGCGGCAAAACCTCTTTCTCACATGGGAAAATACAATGACATTCGACACCACGTGGAATAACCTGATCTATCAACTTAGTCCGGAACTGTTAAAGTTTCATGTCAATGCTATCCATGACACTGCGTCAACACCTAGCAACCTAAAATGTAGTGATCTATTCAGATAAAGCAAAGAAGGTTTATCTAATGGAGCTGACTTGTGGAAATGAGCAGAACGTTGCTGATCAAGAGAAGCGAAAGATGAAGAGATATCAGCAGCTGACAGAAGAGATAGAAGCCAACGGATGGGCTTGCAAGCTCCAGACAGTAGAAGTGGGAGCTCGAGGCATTTACAACTATAGCCTCCCAACATTTATGAACCACCTGAACGTAAAGAACAAAGAGAAGAAGAAGGCCTGCATGAAGATCGCTGAGATCAGCCTGAGGGCATCGTATACCATCTATTTGTCCAGAAACACTACCATATGGACAGATGATTGGGAGTTAGTCAAGAGACCAGTAATAGCATAGTACTAGTAGGAGCGTAGAATGTTTGGGCCCAGAAAAACATGTTTAATACCGCTATGAACCCGTCATAAGCCGGGGACTACTATGAAAGTGATGATGCTGTGTTGTTGAAAGACCTTCGACCAATCAAAGATGTACCTCATCACGCCAAGCAGTTATGCTTGTAGTTGAATATACACTTATATTATAGAGTACAACAACTTTATAACACTCCCCATGGTTACCGACATGTGACCACTTACCATGGTTATTGACCATTGTTAATGGTCTGGCCGAGAAGAAAGCGGCGCGCGAGAAGAAAGCGGCGCGCGCTACTTCGAAGAAATTTAGACGAGTAACATCCGTCAACATGGTTACCGATATGTTACCACGGTTACCCACATGTTACCATGGTTACCCACATGTTACTATGGATACTCACATGTCTGAGTGGAAAGTAAGATTTGGTAACTTCAAACTCGCCCACTGCATCTGAGACTGGGCTGAACTCTATTTCCACATCTAACCAAGGTTTACAGTTCCTGAACGGAGTGAACAGATCCAGCTTCTTTCTTAAAACCTGGTATTGTTATTTTCTAGGGTCATTATAGGTTCATAGCTAATATCATTATATATTACGTAACTATAGCTTCTGTAACTGTAGCTACTGTAACTATAGCTTATACCGTAACTATAGCTACTGTAACTATAGCTACTGTAACTATAGCTACTGTAACTATAGCTACTGTAAGTGTAACTATAGCCAATACTCAATTTTTATAGGCCACACCCAATCATCATTGAATTGCTTATACTTGTGTTATATACTATAATATGCTATGTATAATATTACTCTTGTTTGCGAACATGCTGGAAACTTCATTGCGACATATAATCAAAAATCGTGTAGCATATTGCAATAGGTCATTGAATTTAGTATTACATGAAAAGATTACGCGAAACAGAGTTAAAATCGAGCACCTTGTTTCTCTCGTTAAATTGATCGGGTAATCATGTGATTGCATGTATGGTGTATAAAAACAATATAATACAATCTGATCCAATCATTCGAAATATCTAAAAGACGCGAAAATGAACGTTCATTCGAAGAAAAAAATGAACATTTTAATTAATATTTCCTCGAATGAGCGGTTATAGCAAGTCGTGATACCAGGAAATAAGCCCCAACGTATGTGTACTGACTTTTGGTACCCCAGTAACTACTGGATAGTTTTAAATCATTATCACTTCAAAAACAATTGTTTTGATCGTGTTCATTAATTTCAAAGTGTAATTACTAATTAGTGTGACTAGTGTAATTAAATTTAAAGTAATTAGTGTAATTAGAGTAATTGGTGTAATTAGAGTAATTGGTGTAATTAGTTTAATTAGTTTAATTAGTGTAATTAGAGTAATTAATAATTAGCAAATTAAATTAGTGTACATTAACCTTGTTGCTAATGATATCCTGGAGGTCTATAGAGGCGTGGCCCAGTTTCTCTTTGCCGATTATATCATCGTCCCACACCCAAAAGTACATCTTGTTTCCCTCGTGGGACACCTCCGTCAGGAAAGTCTCATTCCAGACTGGGTTCAGGTTGTCCTTTATCACACTGGTTTGTAGAATCTTGTGGTCGTCTATTGACACATTCACGTACGGATCTGTTATGTTACCATGGTTACTATTGACACATTCACGTACGGATCTGTTATGTTACCATGGTTACTATTGACACATTCACGTACGGATCTGTTATGTTACCATGGTTACTATTGACACATTCACGTACGGATCTGTTATGTTACCATGGTTACTATTGACACATTCACGTACGGATCTGTTATGTTACCATGGTTACTATTGACACATTCACGTACGGATCTGTTATGTTACCATGGTTACTATTGACACATTCACGTACGGATCTGTTATGTTACCATGGTTACTATTGACACATTAACGTACGGATCTGTTATGTTACCATGGTTACATTCACGTACAAGCGATAGTTAAAAACAACGCACAAGTCTAATCTTACCAAGCATTATTTCAGGGTGGGGCCACTTTGTACAGGCTGTACCGCATAAAGTGTGACTTTTTTCCATTTTAATAGCTTTTGACTAAATTAAACTTCACGGTTATTTTTAACTAAATTTTGTCAGAAATATAGTTGAATTGATAAAAATAATAAAAGATATGGTTAATACTTAATAGTTCGGCATAACAATAACCATAGTAATAAACATTGTTACCTGATAGATCCTTTTTCTTATTTTTGTTGCGAGATAAAAGCCTGTCGAACTTTGCTTTAATGTTTGAGCCGTCTGCGTTTGGGAGGTTGCCAGCACTAATAACGGTCACCTTCAGGTCCCCCCGGAAATATAGCAGGTCGTTATTAGTCCCTTTCATGTTATACTTATACTGCAAAGAAGAATAGTCAATTATTTGGGGGGAGACATGCTGCTTAACAAGGGGGAAGGGGGCATGCCGCTTAACAAGGGGGAAGGGGGAAGGGGGACATGCTGCTTAACAAGGGGGAAGGGGGAAGGGGGACATGCCGCTTAACAAGGGGGAAGGGGGAAGGGGGACATGCTGCTTAACAAAGGGGAAGGGGGAAGGGGGGCATGCTGCTTAACAAGGGGGAAGGGGGGCATGCCGCTTAACAAGGGGGAAGGGGGGCATGCCGCTTAACAAGGGGGAAGGGGGAAGGGGGACATGCTGCTTAACAAGGGGGAAGGGGGGCATGCCGCTTAACAAGGGGGAAGGGGGACATGCTGCTTAACAAGGGGGAAGGGGGAAGGGGGGCATGCTGCTTAACAAGGGGGAAGGGGGAAGGGGGGCATGCCGCTTAACAAGGGGGAAGGGGGGCATGCCGCTTAACATCTCACATCAGGATTAGAAGAAAAGTTTGGGAAGTTTATCGGAGAGGCTCGACGGCAAAAAATTAGTCCAGATTCTACAAAATTTTCAAAAAATTGCGAAACACGATTTGTAACGGAGTTTCACAACCAGCAACTTTTTAAAACAGTTTCTGAAACAAAAAGATAGAGACTGTGGTGATTTGTTATCTGGGACAATGAGGTGTCAGCATAGCACGGGGATAGAATACAGAGCACACAGTGTTACCATGGTTACTATAGTACGGGGATAGAATACAGAGCACACAGTGTTACCATGGTTACTATAGCACGGGGATAGAATACAGAGCACACAGTGTTACCATAGTTACTATAGTACGGGGATAGAATACAGAGCACACAGTGTTACCATGGTTACTATAGTACGGGGATAGAATACAGAGGACACAGTGTTACCATGGTTACTATAGTACGGGGATAGAATACAGAGCACACAGTGTTACCATGGTTACTATAGTACGGGGATAGAATACAGAGCACACAGTGTTACCATGGTTACTGTTTAAACAGTGTTACCATGGTTACTGTTTAAACAGTGCTACCATGATTACTGTTTGAACAGTGCTACCATGGTTACTGTTTAAACAGTGCTACCATGGTTACTGTTTAAACAGTGCTACCATGGTTACTGTTTAAACAGTGCTACCATGGTTACTAATTAAACAGTGCTACCATGGTTACTGTTTAAACAGTGGTACCATGGTTACTGTTTAAACAGTGCTGATTGAGGAGCACTACCCGAAGGCATTACTCGGCACTAACGCCTTAAAATCTTTAATTACAATCAAATATAAATATATGCACACAATGTATAAAATATTAATATAATATAATGTATAAAATATGATTATGCTATTAGCAAATTTAAATAGTACTATTAAGAATTTTAAATAACTCTTATCTCTTGACATAAATTTAGAACAGCGACACAGGGTCTGAAGAATGCGCGGTGATATTTTTATCTTTTAAAAGTTGTAAATGACAGTGAAATTGCGCGGTATCGATAGCATTGTAAAAAATGCTCTAAGATAGTCATATTTCGTTATGAGGTTAAAGTTTTGTTGCTCGTTATTATGATCAAAGTATGTTGTACCAAATTATTTAAATTTCTAAAAGTACGAAATTTGAGTTGTTCCAGTCCTTGTCATCCGGGTTTAGTGCTTGTGCAGTAAGCACATGCTTGCTGACTGTAGACTTGAATGAATTTAGGAATTTGTCTTGTAGGCAAGTGGTGACGTATTTTATGTCCTTGTCAATAATGTTGACTGTTTTGTTATATAACTTAGGCCCAATGTAAGAAATGCTCTTGTCTGAATTACGTAAACGGTTAAATGGTACTGCAAAGAACTCAGGTTCTCTTCTAGGTGCGTTTAAGTTTGAAACAGTAAACATTCTTATAATATTTGGTGGTGCAGTGTTAGAATAAACTTTGTGCATTAAGCATAATATACATTTAGCTATCACGTTCGGTAAAGCTAATACTTCTAGTTTATTGAAAATTTCCTTTGTGTGTGTAGGTGTGCTATTAAGATCTTTGTCATAAAAATAGCGGTGGTATTGGTTATCTGCAGCGCGAATGCCCTTTTTCTGGGCCGAGAAGACTCTTTTGACGGAGTTTAGCGATCTTGTTCCCCAAACTGTGCAGCAGTAGTACAAGTGAGACTGAACAAAGCTGTTGTATATCAACTTGAGTGCTTTGTTAGGTACTGAGCCTTTGAGTTTGTAGAGAATGCCCGCATTTCTAGATACTTTAGTGGCTAAATGTCTAATGTGGTGGGCCCAATTTAGCTTGGTATCAATGATCACGCCAAGAAACTTTTCGTGATAACTTTGCTTGAGTCGTTCACCTCCCATGTAGATTTCTATATCCTCAGTTTTCTTATTTGTAAAGATCATATATTTAGTTTTGCTAGCATTTAATTTAAGCCCGTTTTTAGTAGCCCAATCAATTATCAAAGTCAGAATCTCATTCACCATTGCATTAAGTTGTTCAAATGTATCTGTACTTATTATTAGGTTTTCGTCGTCAGCGAAATAAATATGTTTAGCTAAATTACTAATCTGAGGAAGGTCGTTGATGTAGATTATGAACAGAATTGGTCCGAGAATGGAGCCCTGTGGTACTCCGTAGTTAAGTTTGAGGTGAGAGGACTTGCAGTTGTTGACGCTCACGTATTGCTCTCTATCGGTTAGATATGAGTCAAACCAAGATAAAGCCAACCCCCGAACTCCATAGTGCTCAAGTTTTCTCAGAAGAATACTGCTGTCAACCATGTCAAAGGCCTTGCTGTAGTCCAATAAAAGCAGTGCTGTGACCTGCTTTTTTTCTAGTGCCCTGTGAATATGGTTTTGGGCTTCTAGTAAAGCATGTTCGCAGCTATGCCCAGCCCGAAATCCGTATTGAGAGTCAAATAGGATTTTCTCTGTCTTTAAGTGATCTAATAGTCGCGCTTGCATAATTTTTTCAAAGATTTTTGAGAAACATGAGAGTAGTGAGATAGGTCGATAGTTTGAAACTTCAGCACGTGACCCACCTTTGTGAAGTGGAATTACTTTCGCGATTTTCAATTTATGTGGAAACTTCCCCTGATGTAGAGACGCAGAGACTAGGCAGCTAAGCACTGGTGCAAGTATATTGCTCACTTTTTTCAGGGGAAGTATACTCATATCAGAAGTCGACTTTATCTTCAAACCCTTAACTATTTCAATTATTTCTGATGGGGACGAATCTTCTAGATTCATGCTCCGCTGGCATTTGCTATCTTGAGTTTCTGTTGCGATAGTCCGGCCCTCAGAGCATACGAGACCATTTTCTCTCTTAAGAGTCTCAGCTATATTGCAGAAATAGTCATTGAAGCTATTCGCAATTTGCTGAGAATCTGTTATCTCGCTCCCATTATAGTTAATTTTGTTTATCTTAATTTTGCCTTTTTTCTTTCTGTTTAACAAGTTATTAACCATTTGCCATTGTTTTCTGCTGTCACTAGAATATTTTGTAAAGTATGCGTTGTAATATTTGTTTTTGGCCTTATCCACGTGTTTATTCACAAATTTCTTCATTTTCTTGTACCTAATATCATTTTCAGTGGTCGGGTTTGTGACAAAATCTTCATAAAATTTATTTTTGCGATCACACGCGCACCGTAACCATTCTTGGATCCACGGCTTTGTGTTTTTACGGCGGCCTGGTTTACTCTTTTTTGCCTTAATTGGGAAATTTCGGTCGTATAGTTCACTATATTTTTTATCGAAAGCCTCAAATTTTTCATCTACAGAATCATAGTTATTAACCAAGTTCCAGTCTACCGCATAAATGTCGTTCTCGAACTTTTTGATACTGTCATCGTTTATTACTCGAGAAGATGTTTCTGTGGTATCTTCTTGAAGTTTACAACTGAGCCTATTCTGATCAACCATAATTGTGACAAAAGTTGCCAAGTGGTCAGAGATTGATTCAGAAATTACTCCCGATTTTGTAACAGCGTGGCAATTATTGACGAAAATATGGTCAATGATAGTCGCACTGTGATCTGTGACTCTAGTTGGTCTTGATATCACAGGAGCGAATCCATGCTCTGCCAAAGTGTCCACATACTTAGTGACAGAGTCTATTCTCCCGTAATCTAGTAGGTCTATGTTAGTATCACCGGCCAGTATGATATTTTTGTTTCGATGTCTTGCCAAGTTACGGAGGAAAATTTTTAATTGTTCAAGGAAACCATTCAAATCCCCACTTGGAGAGCGATATATGTTACAGATTAACGCGTTTTTGTGCCCTGTCAAGGTAAGTTCTGCAACCAAGAATTCTCCTATCTTAGGATTATCGTGGCAACATAGAGCGCTCTTAACGTTTATGTCAGATAATTCACATAGTTTTTTGTTAACATATATGACTAATCCTCCACCACGATTTGACGCTCTGGCGGGAGTCTGAACATACGGTGGATAGAAACCGTCTAGTTCGAGCTCCTCTCCCTGAAAAGGCAAACATTCCGTGTTACAATTTGTTTCATTGAAGCAGAGAACGTCGTATTTTGTGTATTGATCTATATTCTCCCGAAATTCTTCAATGTTCCCATTAAGTGACCTAATGTTTAGCGAGAAAACTTTTAATTCATACTCCTTCGTATTTTTTATCGCTTTCGCGGTATAATATTTGTAGTTATTTAGAAGACTAGACGTTGTTTCCCATGGATTCAAATCAGCATCAGTATCATCACGATCACCTATTTGATTTGATAGGTGGTCGCGATTAAAGGGGTTAAACCTAATAGTGTTACTGAAATTTATCATGTGAAGCTGTCTAATGGAGACATCATATGCTGGGAAAATTTTTCTCAAGCATTCTTTGCAGCCTGTTGAGCCAGCAGAACATCTTGTGTGGGATAGGTTGTCACAGTAGCAACATTTGGTCATTTGTCTTATATTCCCAATTTTTGTGCAAGTGTGACATTTTTCTCGTTTATGGGAGACTGGGATTTGTATAGGCTGTGATGGTACTAG